AAGTGTTTTCTGTTATAAATGGCTTTCTTCGCCCTGCGATGGACTGGCGACCTGTCCAGGGTGTACCCTGCCTCTCGCCTGTAGACAGCTGGAGATAGGCACCAGCATCCCTCGTGACCTTGCTTGGAATAAAGGGTGTTAGATAATGAATGGATGAAAATGGCTTTCTTCTTGTCATTCTACTTTAAAAACAGCGTGTTTTTTGTGGGATTTATGCATGACTAACAGTTTTATCTACACTTTCTCTCAATCCTCAAAATGAATCTCTTGGCTGCATCTTAGGTGACTTTTTGCAGCTGTAGCGCTGTCTCTCCGTCATCAGATGGTGGGCTGAACAAAGGTCTGTGAAATGTTGTTTTATGACCTAACCCTTCTTCAACTTCATCCCTGACCTGTTTGCTTTGTTCCTTGTTCTTTATGATGCTGTTGATTCTAATGTTCTGTAGTAAACCTCTGAATCCTTTACAGAACAGCTGGATTTCTTTATAAGACCTGAATAATTTCAGGTCAGTTGCAGACATGTGATCTCTTTCCTTTCCAAAGGCATACGCTCAAACCATCTTCAACTTTATGACGTGTTTGCTACAATTTATCTGTCTGTGTTTTGAAACCAGCAGCTCTGCTTTTCTTTTTGTTTACACCATGAGGACGCAGTGCCATCTAGAGAGAGGTTGGATCAGGGCTACTCAAAAATAAAATCGTTTTTAATCACTGTTCATCTCCTTTTAGTTTCCACTGAGAAAACATCAGGATGTTTGAAGGTAACAGCTGAGGATTACATTACAAACACCCATCAGGTAAAGAGGAGAGAAGGTAAATCCCATATCTCTAAGTTTGCCCCTCACTCCCATGGCAACCCTGGTTAGAAAGTGATAGAAGATAAATTCAATTTTAAGATTACATGTATTTCTTTTTTCAGTTTAATGTTTGTCTATTAATATTCTTCAAAGAAACTCCACAACACAGATGGACTTATACTCAGATTAAATCTCTAACATGATGACTATATTGACTGAATAGGAGATATCAGAAAGCATTAGGGTTGCCTTAGGTTTTAATTCAGTTCATTTGTAGAAAAGTTTACATAAATAAAGCCTTAAAGTCTGATTTTTTTTTTTTTAACGGTGAATCCTTTCCCTGCTCCTTATAATGATGCACCACTCTAAAATCCCGAGCTTGTGGTCGTAAAATGAGAGAAAATGAAAAAGTTTTAGGCTACTGAGAGGCAGGAGCAGTGCATGACCTTTTAACTTATAAAGAAATAAATGACACACATTTAAAACTGATGTCTTGGTAATATTTATTTCTTCTTTACTTAGAGTAACATGTAGTTTAGGACAAATGCATGTTTAAAAGCCAGTACAACAGTTTGCAGAGTACAGGATTAGAAACTGCACCATATTTATTGGGTTTATCTCCTCTTTGAGAACTATATCAGTGCTTTATTTGTCCTCATAAAAGAAAAAAAGGAAAAAACCTTTAACCTAAACAAGAAACCAGGGTTTGTTTTTCATGTTTAAGTGATTTTTAAGCCTAATGCAGGGTTAATGTTCCGTTTCAGACACAAAAAGAGAGCAACATCAGGTAGCCGAGACACATTAAGAGGGAAGCGCGAAGATACTGCTACCAGAGGGCGAAGCAGGAGAAAGACAGAAGAGATCATACAAGTGCAGAGCAGAGTAAAGCTTTCAGAAAGACATGCTGAAGGACTACATTTATATATACTTGTATAAGACACTGAAAGCAGCGACAGTCTTCAAGCAGAAAGAGGGAAGAGAGAGAAAGTCAGATCAAGCACTGATAGGGATACGATGCGAAGCGAGGTTGGCATGCTTGCAGCACAGAGAGACTTTACAGGAAGCCCAAGACACAAAGATTACATGTAAAGGCTAGAGCGACAGTGCACTAATCTACAAGCTAAGCTATATATATTGTTATATGTAAGACACTTAAGCTAATTACAGGAGCGATACATACAGTATACATATATGCACATGAATATATAGGAGACAGCACATGAAACAAGCTGGAAAGGCAAGGAATAGCATGCACATGCAAGGGAAGCAAGTGTAGCAGCAGCAAGAGCAGCAAGAAGAACAGAGCAGAGGTGGGACTGTGTCACAAGTCATCTTTCCACTCAAGTCCAAGTCGAGACCTTGCCTTAAAGTACCTGTTCCAGTCTCAAGTCCAAAGAAAATTTGTGTCACTCTGCAGTCACATCGAATTCAGAGTTAAGATGCACAAGTTATGAATTAGGTTTCAGTTTGAGTCTGAAGTCAGAATAAGTAGTTTAATAGTCACAAGTCCAGTCCCAATTAAAGTTTGGATGTGCTAAACTCCAGTCAAGGTCCATGTTAAACCCAATGTAAAGCCAAGCACCTACTTATTTGAGTCATAAGTTAGATCCTGGATCAAGATCTGCAAGTCCCAAGATCTTGCAGATCTTGCAGGTCTTCTATAATTTTTTGGATGAGACTGTAATCTTATCTGCAGGCATCCGTTGGGAAGCAGCTTTACAGCCAGGGATTTATGGAAGCTAGGCTGATACAGCTGGCTCCGCTCAAACAAGGATACTTGATCAGATAGAGGCATGTAACAGGATTATGCATATAACAGTAATTTAGCAGAGCATCTTCAATCAGAGGCTTCTTTAAATCAGCGGCAACACAGACTGCTGCAGGCCAGCTTTCCAGCCTATAGCTAAGCCATTTTCATGAATGTTTTAACAAACCTTGATTCTGTAACTCCTGTGAAGTAAAGAAGTATTATTGAATTGAACCAAAGTTTTGTCAAAGGTCCAACTTAAGCTCCAACAATTTCACTATTTTATCAAGTCAGAAGTCATTAGATTGGTGACTTGAGTTAAAGTCTTGTGACCAGAGTCCACGCCCCTGAGGAAGAGTGTCTGGCTTTTCAAGCTCACCGCAGTGAGATTAGTTGGTTTGAATCTGATGTTGTCTCTGTCAGTGTACACAACAGGTCTGCTTAGGGAGAGAAAACCAATTCTGTCTGGAAGCTTCACTATAGCTACAGAATGAGATGAAATGTCCTTATTTCAAACTGATTCTTAATTCCTTTCACATTCAGACAAAATAGCTTCAGTTACAGTTTTTCTAGAGATTTTTTTTAACATTAAATCATAAACAACAGTTAGACATTGCACATTATTAAGATCATATACTCTAAAGTGCACAACCTCCTCCCTTTTTTTCCCCCAGGAGGAAAACTAGATGATACTGAAAAAAACTCTACTAAGGCAACACAGTTACAAACACACTAAGGTACACGTCGGCACATACAGTCAAGTATCACTTGTGCACGGAAAAAACACGGAGCTTCAGAGTCAAAAAAATGGCTTTGCATAATCATTTAAAACTCAAACGCCAGAGTTTCACACTTCCTGGTGAAATATTTCACGGTGAAATCTGTCTGTTCTTTTTAAAGCCAGTCCCTGAAACAAGTTATCCTTGAAACAGCTAGAAGAGTCACATACATACATACACACCCACAGTGGAGATTAAAGCCTTTTGGCCTGACTAGATGAAAATACAGGGCATCTATATCAGATATAGAGAAAATATGAACAAGTTTACCTCACAAATAGTCTCTGGTTATATATGTCTTATATACACATATGTATACACAAAGATATGTACTTAGGACATCTTGAAGTTCTATTTACAGTCTATGTTTAAAAGTGATTGTTCAGTGAACGATCGTGTTGAGTAAATTGTGCTTTTCTACCTCAGTCTAATGAAAATGCTACAAAACGTCTGATTTTTAAATAAAATCAGAGTTCACATTTCAGCAGCTAACTCTGCCTATGATAAGCATGCGTTTTATACAGATTATTTATGCTTTTCATTATCATTGTGTGCTTATTTTGGGGGGGGGACCTGATTATCTTTCATTAAGTGCGCTAACGTTTTATTGGTTCATTTGCCGTTTTGCTAGATATGGAGATTGGACCCTTAAATATTGCTAGAGAATGAATAAAGAAGCAATCTCAGTTGCAGTACCTTTCTACCTGCTGCCTCATCTCTTTGATTATTTAGTGCAAGTGATGTCTGGTGTTTAACAGATCTGTTAAAGTACCAAAATCTGAACAAAATGGTAAATTCATCATTATTACTCTACAGGTAATTCTGCTGGGCTTCTTGTTATTAAGTATGAAACATAAGAAATGTCACAATGATAATATTAGATTTGGCACTATTCCAGTTGGAGAATGCACCTTGAAGCAATTTAGTTTATAACAAGCTGTTTTTTTTACACAAACAGCACAATAGAACCCTGTGAATTTCATAACGCAGTAAGTTTTTTAACCATACATTCTAGCTTTTATTCTCAGGTAAGGGAAAAAGTGATAAAGTGCAACTCAGAAACAGATTTAGCAAATTCATGAAGGGGTAAATCACCTGGTTAAAATGATCGATAAATCGATGAATGATAAATTTGTTCACTGTACTTTTTTCNATATATATATATATATATATATATATATATATATATATATATATATATATATATGATATCCCAAAACTTGCTAAATCTCTTTGAAAACAGATCAAAACTGTGTATTTTTATACATCGAGATACATAAAAACTGCACTTGATAACCAAGCTATTAAAGCGCTGCTAAGATCTGATGAAACTCGCTCTATATTTATCCACTATGACTACCCTGAACCTTTTCTTGCTTTTGTTGGTCTCACCATTATTTAGAGTCCCAGTCCAAAGAAGCTCCCAGTATAGGATTGATTAAAACATTATTGCCTTTGCTTTTATGTTTTAGTTTTAAGCTCAACATGGCATGCTGGCTCACAGTGAACTAAATTCTTTATTTTGTAAAGCAACATTTTTCTGAATACACCGTAGAAACAGATTGGTATGATAACTATGATTTTTTCAAAAATGACTCCACTACAGCCTCGTCATTCCCACCATAAGAATGAAGCATAGGTTGAACTTCAAAATGACTGCTCTTGTTTTTTTTTTTGTTTTTTTTATATATATATCTGAAAATAAAAACTTAGATACATTTTTGATAACGTTTTGACCACATTTCATCCCAACCTACTTCCATCTCATATCCCCTAATCGGTGCATATATTTTTCCAGGTAACTGAATAATTTGGTCCATTATGGATATAAATAATCTCAAAAATATTAATAAAGGTTATTACATTTTTGCTGTATGCTATTATGTGTATATTATATTGCACTGAGGTTCAGTTCATTGCTTCTCTAATTTCCATTTGTGCCAGTTGAGTGTTAATAGAATATTATGACAGCTATTCAAAGTGCAATAACTTCGATAGACCCTGCTGGTAGATATTTATTGCAGTTGTTTTTATAGCACACTATGAGTAGATTAAAGAAATTCAGATATAATCATTAGTTGTCAAAGCTAAATGAATTGATTTATGCCAGGCAGCTACTGTACCAAAACAACCTAAACTGCAAAATCATAAAGAGTCAAACGACCTTCACCTTCTTGGATCCACTGAGTAACTCATAAAAATTTTGACATAAAAAGGGGGCAGCAATTGTGTTGGAATTATTAACTATGCTTTAATATTGACTGAATTATTTTTTTTTTGTGCATTTTTAAAGGTAATTCATGTTGACATTATCGCCACCTGCTGGCTTGTTTGGGTATTTTGGCAGTTTAGAGAACTTGTGTTTTCTTTGATCCACCGAGAGAAATAGCCCATATGCAGAGCAGTGTTATCAGGTTAACTCTAAATGTTAAAAAGTCATTTAAACAGCTCTATGGACTGGACTCTATGCTCAGTTGGACGGGCAGTTAATTAAGCTGAGGTAAATTTAAGTGCTTTTTTTTTGTTCTTTAAAATTGAAAATGTTACAACACAACATTTGGCACTTAACAACAAAGTCTGTGAATGAGAAATGATCCAAAAAAGCCAGATCTTCCTCATCAACTTATTGCACAAGCATTTCATAGCACAAAAAGTACATATAAAGTCACGTTTATCACACTAATCTCGCGGCGACTACACCATAAGAAAGGCGGACAGAAGCACTTTTACATAGCGCTGGACCAAGTCAGTCCACAGAAAAAGCTGCAGTACATAATATATTAATATATTTGTAGATTTTTTTTCTTAAATATACTCTTAAATATGAGATTTTACAGGAAAAAGAGAGAAAAGAAAATGGTTACCGGTACATTCATGACAAACATTTCAGCCATCAACAGGGAAAGTACAGGAGGACCTGGAGAGAGGAGTCTTATAGATCGTGGCCGAGTCGCTCGATTTCCTCGATGAGGAAGTCGATGTCCTCAAAGGTGGCAGCGGGGTTGGAGATCACCATGCGGAAGAAGTTCACCTTGTCCCCTTGCGGCTGGTAGCTGACCATAGTTGTGCCATACTCCATCATGCGAGCTTTTATGACTGGAGCAACCTGAAATACAGATTCAAGCACACTGATCATCAACTTCTTGGACCCTATAGTACTAGGGATAGTTTTTCACCTTTACATTCGCATGAGCCTGAATGAAAACCAATCTTGTTAAAGACTTTAGGACAATGTTAGAGCATCAACAGTTATACCAGCTTTTAATCTCTGCGACAGTTTCTTACAGAGCGAATTAGGGTGTTTTGGAAAAACTTTGATGATTCCTCAAGAAGGTAAACCTCTTTTATTTCTTTTCTCAAGTTGTTACTATTTTTTATAAGTTTCAACAGGACTGTTAATCCACTGTGTAAAGTTTTTAGACCTAAGGACTATATGTTTTTTTTCTTTATTGGTCGACAGTTCAGTTTTTTTTCTTTTAAACATACTCTGCACAACATGTTGCCCTGGTCAGTGACAGATGATTGGTTGGTAAGATGAAACAATGCCTTTCATGTGACATTTCACCTGCCAGGTGATTCACCAGAGCGGGGGTCCATTTCACTAAGCAGATTTACTGAAAACTCCAAGTTTTCTAAACAAATAAATAAGGGAAACTGTGTTTTCCGGTTCACAGAGAGAGTTTATTCAACCTCTGTTCCAGTCACTGTAGTAAAATTCTCCCCAGAGCTAACCTGGTCGGTAGCAGGTTTTCTTCAGTAAACTCAGAGCATCCTGTTTTCACTCTACTTACAGCCAATCACACTGGTTTTTTTTTCCTGATTTAGTCCGATTTTTGTGGTACTTTTGTGCATAGGCAAAAAAAAACAAATAAATAAAGAATCCATTAGACATATTAGGTGTTACAAGCAAACATTGCGAGTCCATTTGCCGAGGATCTTATTAAAGAACGATTGACATTATTCCACAGAGCATGAAATATTTATAGGGAGGATTCGACAGCTCAGTTGACAGGATATAAGATTTATTTGTTTTTGGTTTGTTTAATATGAGCGACACAGGGATAATTTTTATTGTTATTTATTTGTTTTTACAGTAAGTGAAGAACTATTGAAATAATTTTCAGATTAAATGTAAATAGAATAATTAATGCCGCGATGGGAAAGGGAAATACTTTAGGGTTAGGATAAGGATTCACTCGGCGATAACATCCTAATGAGCCTACTTGCACAATCTGAAGCCATTCTATGGGACTGATAATTGCTAATAATGACCATTTATTGGAATGATAACATCCAAAGCTGATACATGTCAAAATACCACTTAAAATGTATAAACATTTCTAGTTATATAAAAAGTAATTCCTACTAGTATCATTTGGGTATTTTACTTTGGACTTCACCCTTCTGGACAACATCTACCGGTACATCATACATCCGTTAAACAAATTTAGCAATTCAGTGAAGCTCTCCATTATAAAACCCAAAATATACGCCGGTTTGGACATTTTCATGTGCCACAGAGCACACATGAAGTATTTTTGTCAAACTGTATTCCGTGGGGCTGGTCGTGCCTATATATCCTATCAGGAAAAGGATTGTGGGGAATTTGTTTTGATGCTCGGCATCAGACCGGAACATTGGGAGCTCCTTATGCAAAATGAACTAGCGATAGGAAGCATCCTGCTTTCTATTTTCTGTCTCCTTCTTTATAAACTCTCTTGGGAAAAAGCTGACTTGTCTGGCTTAATCAATTCCTTGTTTACTCATTGCATGCGCAGTATCTCCCAAGCAATCTTGTTCAGTAGTGTAAATAAAATGCTTTAATTTGCCTAAAAAAACAAAGTGTGAAACAGAAGTTAAACTTGAAAAGCCAACATTTTGCCTTAATTAATTCAGAGAACCTTTATATGCAACCAGAGGGAGCTACTAGCGTAGTAATTAGTAAAGTCATAGTACGTGACCAGGATCCTTTGAAGTACAGAAAGGTTTGTTTAAATCATCAGGTTTTAGTTTGCTAGGCTGATGAATATATTTTGCAGGCGTCCTGTTGCAGTTGGCAAGGCCATAAAGTAATCAACTTGCAGCTGATTTTCTTCAAAATCCTCCTCTTTGACAACTTTCCAGTTCGCCTCATCAGAAGAAATCATTAAGGCCGAGTGGAGATGAAGACAAAGCTCCTCCAGCTCAGGTTTTCTCCTTAAAGCCCTAATGGTTTAAAGTTACGTCATCTGTTGAGTCACAAAGTCTGGGGAAAAGAGCAAAGATGCCAAAACAGTCGATCCATCCACTGACGCACAGTCTCGGTTTGATTTCAGCAAGACGTTAGGATATTAAACACCTGCAGATGGCAACAATTTAAGGCTGGAAGATTCAGAGGGAAAGAGTAGCAGAGTGATGGCTGTATAGTGGAAAGACAAGCCGTCTGTTTGCTCTAAGTGTCAGTTATTCATTCTTGATGCTGCTGTATTAGCTAACAGCCTCACCTCCATTTAAGGACTATTGCAGTTTACTATCGCTCGTTGAAAAGTGTTTTCTAATGTTAAGTCTTTGCACTCCCCAATTATCGGGACATGTAATTGTGGCTGTGGACATAAATGACAGGCTTGTTGGCCACGTGGAAGGTGTGCTGGACAGATACCGCAGCCTGGCCTCTTATCTCAGCAAACCCACCTTGTGTAAGCGCTTCTTCTTCTCCTCTTTGTCCTCCATGTAGCGGATCCCAGGGGGGAGGTACCAGAAGCAGACGTTGGTGTGTTGAGGCTGAGGAGGCACACAGGAAGCAAGACAATAAGAGGTATAAAAAGCACAAAAAGTAAAAAAAAAACAACATGCAGACGTGCATTTGTTCTGTTGTTTGTTTTTACTTCTCATTTTGCATTTATCCAGAGTTCTGAAACGTTCTTCGTTATATTTTCACCAGACTCAATTCAGCAAAGCTGTTTTTACGTTTTTTTATTGTAGCAAATACAACATTTACTGTGAATTAACCCTTCAATCAAAATTTCAAGCCAATGGTGTTACTGGAATCCAGGACAAGACCTTATTACTTTTGTAATTTTCCAAATATATGTATATTTTGATGGCAGAAATTATGATCTATGCAATAACGAGAAACAGCCACTTGCCCTATAATGTTGAGAAAAATAACAAAAGTGCTTCTATAAGAAATTCATGAAAAAACGCTCAGTTTTTTTTTTCTTTGTTACATCATAACCTTAGAGCTTTAATGCTGTTACAACAACTTACATTTTTTACTTTTTAAACTTGGCGTATTAAGGATTTAACTTTACTTTCAGCTTTACAATTAGCTATTCAGCTTTTTTGTAACTTGCTAACTGTTTTTTCAACCTTACTTTACAGTAGGTAATAAATCATTCAAAGGTGCATCTAATTGGTCAAATACCAAAATAATACATACAGCTACTTAACAATATCTTTGCTGAATAGCTGGATATAGATCTTGTGCTTCTAGACCTCAATGAGAGACGGGGGGGGACTCCATTTGTAAAGGGCATGCAAGTTATAAAAAAAAAATGGGGACTTGCCCTAAACTCCAACTTTTTCTACAGTGGTCAGGCTGATTTTATCTGGGTTTATAAAAAGAATGAAAGATAAATGTATGCATTGATGAATTAATGGACATAACTTTCGTAGAATGTAATCCAAAAATAAAGTGTGGAAATAATAATAATAATAGCTTTTCATACAACATTTCATTCTTATCCAGGTTTTTCCAGATGGACTGTAGTGGAATCCTGTTTATCCTTACTAATTTGATTGCAGAGTTATCTAAAAATTTTACAGATGCTTTAATAATTCTGAAAGAATATTTAAGAGTATAGTTATGTATTCTGTTTGTTCTTTGTTAGGACAGTTTGGATTGTAAGAGAACAGTCAGCACAAGGAAATCATTTAAAGAAAATGTTTAACTAAAAAAAGAAATAGCATCGTAGTTAATGGGGCTGCTGGTCATTTCCCCTCTCGTCATTTCGTACTTAAGCTTTGGTCTTTTCATTCCCACCATGCATCAGTTCATCTCTTCTTAGATCTTTTTAAATCGCTTTAGGAACCGATGATTAAAAGTGGACTGAGACTACCTCCTTGTTTTGTTCAACAGCCGTGTGCTGTGTTCACAGCAAAACAAACAAACTGCACTAAGGGTGGAAACGACCACAGTTCATTTTAAATTAACTCAACACCTCAGGTGTGAAAACACCCTCAGATGCTTAGATGAAACTGGAACATCTGTCTAACTTGAAATTACTCTGCAAAAGGAGTAAAATGCAGAGTCTCTGGTTTAAGGCCACAGCAGGTTTCCTCTAAAATGTGCTTACAGAAACCAAATATACTAAACTCACAATCAAAAAGGAAACTTGTGAGCTTTGATAGAGCAGGAAAGAGTGTTTTGTCAATTTTCCTCACATGGGTTCTTGGGTCTTTGGGCACCTTTGGGCATCTTGAAACTCTCCAAACTTATCATTCCGTTTTGTTTTAGTTTTTTTTTAGTTTCTTTGCGGCTGCTGGCAGAGCATTTACATCAAAGACCATGTTCTGGGTGATTTGTTTTACTGCTTTGGACAAAATGATCCATTTTTATTCATAAAAAGATTCAAATAAATATTTATTTGTTTTTGATATTATTTAATAATGATTTAGTATTTCAATTTAACTATTATACTATGATTTAATGTAAGACTACTGTACAGTTTTTCCTTGATTGATAAACCTCTGTTCCTGAAAAATGGAACACTTGTCCCAAAATACTCTCTCTCTCACTGCTTCGACATTAAGTGTAAAAATTTATGTCTCCAAAAATGCAACTCATAATTGAGTCAGAGGGACCATTACAGCCCCTGACAGCCTTAAATACTTTGACATTTTTTGAATATCGTTTGCTCTGACTGAAATGTTTGTTCAGATGAGAAATTATGTGCAGTCTTTTTCTAACAATGAACCCTTTTTTGGGAGCGGTATGTAATCATGAAATCTGTGCAATATTTTGACAACAGAGTCGTGTTTTTTGAGAGATATGTGCAGTCAGTTGAGTATAGTCGATGGAATTTAATGCAGGGCCGCAGTTTGCCTTTTTTTTTTTTACTTCTTGTGAGAAACTAACCGTTCATTTCAGCAACTGAGCATCAAACATAGTGGTGGTAGTGTGATGATATGGGTCTACTATGCAGTCTTGGGACATGTGTGACTAAACAGTTATTTTATGAGTTGTTTTATTGGGTAATGCAGCAGATTAAGGGTCAAAAGCACAGCAGCTCTCTGTTTTTGTTAAAGAGGAATTTCAGTCAAGATCCGGGATACAAGCGGCTGAAATACGTTTTCTCTGCAGTGTGTCTGGGCTCTCCCTTAGAGATAGGGTGAGGAGCTCAGTCATCCGGGAAGGATGACTGAGCTCCTCACAGTAGAACTGCAGTTGTGCAGTTTTTTGATCGGGCTGACTTTCAGCCTGCGTCATGTTGTATAAATGGGGGTAACGAGGGGCGATTAGCCTCCCACGACCACCTCCCTATCAGGAATCATGAGGTGGGGAAAAAATCTAACAAGTTTGAAATTCATCCGGCCGTTGTAAAGTGGACAGATCCTGCTGTTGAAGCAGAGCTACAAGCCGATTTACCAGAACCTCAAGCACTGCACATGTGCAGACAATGAAGTTCTTCTTCTTCCAGATTGATCAGTCCGACCAGCGGCATCTCTCTGCGCCGAGTCTACCTGTCTACGTCTTGTTTTTTGGTCATGCAATGTGAACAGATAGATCGGATCAAAGCGTTGCGTCACACTGTTACAACATGCATTGTGAGCCGTAAACTTTTAAACCCTGCAGTTTCATCATACAGTTTAAGTTGTAGCTGCGTGCAACAATTGAAAATATCAAACAGTGTATGCCTCCTGGACACCTCCCTGGTGAGATGATGGATGGATGGATGGATGGATGGATGGATGGATGGATGGATGGATGGATGGATGGATGGATGGATGGATGGATGGATGGATGGATGGACTTTCAGTCGCCCTTCTAAACCCAACTTAAATATAGTTGTGATGCTTCAGTTTGACCTGAAACAGCTGCTTATGCTTCATTTCATGCTGTCAAAGGTGGAATAACCCTGTTTTACACTAGGCCTGGTTGGTTTGGGGTGCTTTTTTTGTCCTAATGATTTTTATTTTTTCAGTTCAATTCAATTAATTTTATTTACATAGTGGCAATTAAGAACACATGTCATCTCAAAGCACTTTACATAGACAATACTGTCAGATTGGTTAGAAAAAAGCAGTTGACTTCAGAACATTGCATTTTGTCTTTGACTCTTCAGCAATCCCTCACCATTTTTGGAAGAGATTAAAATCCATTTGATCATCCAAAGCATTTAAAAATGACAAAAACTACAAGACGCTCTCCATCTATTCTCGCAGTAACTGTATCTTCACTTTTGCTGTATAAAATATTACTACCGTGGCTATACAATAAAAATGTTTTACAGCTGCTGCAGTATAAATCACTTTCGCCTCTGAAAGCTGCATTCCCGGCGTCTGACAGGTAGAACCACTTGATGTTCCCAGAGAGCTCCTAACTGCTCTGGTTTTGAGCCGCTGACTTAGTGAAGGACTGCCTCCGGGTGGAAAAGCATTCATTACCGAGGGAAGAAGCAACCATGCAGACCAGCCTCATTTACACAGCTGGGCTGGTCCGGTTTGTTCTACTTTCAGCCTCTGATTGATCTAATGGCTCACCGGGGGCTAGAGTCACAATAAAACCTGGGTCACTGCCCAACGGACGAAGCTTTTCCTGATAACACTTCCATGTTTTTAGTTTCTATTGAGGCTCAGAAGGCAGAAAAAAAGTAATGAAACAGTACAGAGCCTCCATTATGAATGACTGTGTGTCCAAAAAGCGGTTCTTTTAACAGAGTTTCACCTTAAAGTCCCCTGTCACCCCCACATATGGTTGTGTCATCGTTTGGCTTTCAGGCAGAAGGCTATTCATATGCATATCAGCAATTACAGACTCTTATGCTATTCATTAAACATAATAGCAGCACATTATACCGCAGGCTAGAAGTAACAATGGCAGGCATCCAACACAAAGCTAGAGCACTCAGTGTGCCAATCAAGTCACCCGTAATGACACTGAGGTAAGATCGAGCTACACGGACCAGCGCTTGCTTATTTCCCTCAGGCTGTGGATGAACGGAGACTTACTTTCCCATCGAAGACCATCTCGTATCCTTCTCTGTCTTTGATCTTGTTGTACAGGTACTCAGACAGCTCCAAGCACTTGTCAATTTGAGCTTCGAAGCCAATAGTGCCCTGCAGGGGAGAACATTTGGTTGTGTAAGGCTACTGTTCAATAAAGCATCTGATCGAACACTCATTTCTCATACCATTTGATTATCTTTTTTTTATTTAGTTTTTAATCAAGTGAGAACTACAAAGAATGGGCGTATACATGCACTGTAGCTCCTTTGTTTTTCAATCTATCTAATTTAAATTATTTAATAGTCCTTATAAGCATTCATCTAATTTAGATTGAATATATGTTGTTTTGGGATGTCTACAGATGGGATATCCTCTTCTTTCTTGGCCCTTGCAGATTTTAATTTAATATCACTTTCATTTAACCAAGAAATATGAAGGCATCTCTCAAAAGACTAAAATTTAAATGTAATTTATCGATTTTTATTTACTTTTGTTAGACAATGGAAGATCAAATTAAATGCCATCCTTTCTCATTAACCCATGCTAAGATTTTATTGGCACTAAATCTATTAAATAATTCTTTTTTTTTGCAGATACATTTTTTTCTCCATATTACTGCTCTTATTATCAGCATGTATCTTCCATCTCCCACCTCTTTAGCTCCAGCAGATTCAGGTAAAGATTCTGATTGGACTGCTCCAAAATGTCTATATTACCTCCAGTTAAAAGAATTATTATAACATAATTTCAAACCTAAATCTACTTAATGATTTTAGGGCTTAATGGTTCCTCGATGTACCTGCATAAATGTTTTATCATTTTTATTTTCTCCACATTCATTTAATATTGAATAGGACATTCTTCTACTTGCTTCACTTCTTAAAACTCAGTGTTTTGCTTTGATAATTTTGTTTGAGGTGACTTACTAGGTTTAAAAAATATATCGCTGATTTAATTAAGATAAAATCAAATAAATTACATTAAATTAAACCCCCTGGTGTCTACTGTGATTGCTATAAATGCAGTACTACTTTGTTTATAATTGACTTTTATTATCCAAAAGTAATTATTTTACAATAGTACTGCTCTTCTAACAAACACACACACACACACACACACACACCTTAGCTCTCCACATGAGCCACAGCTTAAAGATGTCCACATGGCGTCCACACTGCAGCGCTTTGTCCCCAGTGTCGTAGGAGAGGTCGTAGTGTTTGTCCTGCTGGAAGAGGTAGCAGGCGTGCATCTGGTTGCAGCTCTGCATCAAACCCTGCAAAGTCAAATCCAACAGGTTTTAGTTTAGCATCACCTAAAGTAACAGGAAGACCGAAAAATAAATGCTAGTTGTAAAGGAAGCTGAAAAGAAGGCTACCTCCTCTCTGACAAGGAGAGCAGAACACTGCAGAGGGACGGACATCATTTTGTGTGGGTTCCAGGTCACAGAGTTGGCCCTGCAGTCAATAAGACCTTCAGTTAATCATCATGAAATATCAGAGAATTTAACATGTTGGTCAAGAGGAAAAAAGAGAAACTCACCTCTCCACACCGTCCAGTTTCCACCTGTGTCTCCTGGACATGAGAAGACTCCCTCCCCACGCTCCCTGAAGCAAAACACACACTGATCATTGCTGATGCATTTTCTTCCTTAAACAGAATTATTGTTATTAATTTGTCTCTCAAATATTTATTTTTACATTTTTTTAACTACACAGCCACCAACTTCAATAATTAGGAATTTTTTGCATCATTTTTAGCCACACAGCCTCAGAAACTAACAAAAAACTGTCTCTAATCTCTGGATAAACCCCTGATAAAAGTGAGGCCTCCACCACATGCTTTCTGTCCCCATCAGCAGGATTCAGGTACAATTTCTACCTGGATATCCAACCACTTTAACAAGTGTTATAGGCAGGGTTTGTTTAAACACATTAGTTTTCCTGACACAGACTCAGCTTTTAAGAACATTTCAAGCATTCTTATGACTTTAGAAGTCCAATACAGAAGGTTTGTTATCCAGACCAGTTCAGATTTGAATTTGTCCTGTTGGAACCCTAAATATATCTTCAACAGGTCATTTAAAGTAAATTTGATTAATTTAGAGGTGGATAACTTCTATTCTGTGCAATAAACCAGTACATTAGGAAGCACAAACATTACAAACAAATAAAACAGAAAGAATGACAAAAAAGTTAGAAATGTGGAATAAAATACTGTAGTGCTGAATATTAAAAATATTCCTGCACAAAAATCTTTCCTTTGGTTTGAAAAAAAAATGGAACAGCTGAGTAACCGAGCTGCTTTTAGAGACTAGGTGATTCGACTGAGAAATCCCAGTCAGTCCAATGTTTATATTTAGATCCTGGAACATTTAAGAAGTACTTAGTCAATGACTTCGGGGATCTACCATGCACCCAGCAACTGAATCATATTAAAATGTATTAATATCTTGAAAAATAAGTAATAAAAGTCTAGAATCTGTTAGAGGATAAGAAGAATAGGAAGCTAGTGGAGGAACATTGACACTAGCGATTGGAGGTGTCAGTTCCGAGATGTCATTTTGAACCAATGGAAGCGACTAAGAGAGACCAACCTAAACAGCATTGCTTTAATCAATTGCTAAGTTTTTAAAAGCATGTATTACCTTCTAAAGATCAGCACGGTTTCAAATGGTTTGTTCCAAGATTTGCTCCATTGTAACAAAATAAAAAAATTCAGAGCTGTGACAACAGCGAAGGTTTACTTACTGAATAATCCATTCAGTCTTTATTTATCGACCAACAGAAAAGGTTGGTTTAAAAATTTTTTGACTGCAGAAACATGATGAAGAAGGAAGTGATCAATTTACTGTCAGGTGATTTTAAAGAGAGGCATATTTGAAGATCGCCTGTGTAGTCGTGGAGAAACAAGTGTTATATCCACTCCAAGAAAAGAAGCCTAGTGGCAGAATGATACTACCGGTACCTCTACCATACCTAACAGTTAGGACCCAGGTCTTAGTTATGAAAGCCTCACTTTAACCCCTTGAAACCAAATTTAAATGATTATGTCCAAGTAGTTAAAGCTTTGTTTTATTTGATCCAAGAACCTTTTATAAAATATCAGTTAAGCTTCCAGTTTTGAACCTGGTGTGTCTTTCTTGCACAATTCTATCACAATTGCACGCTTATCCACAGTTTCTTCAACAGTTTATAAAATGTTTGAACCTTGGTGGGTCATGGGTTAATTAGCTTACTTTTACCAGAATATAAGGAAAATAAAACTGAGACACAAATGGATGTTTTACCCATAAAGCATGATAACTTTCTGATTAATCGGTCCATAAAAACAAATAAATCAAGATTTGAGTGAAATGCATCAGTAATGCAAAGAAAATATTCAAATATCCTGGGAGGAGATTTTGATGGACACAAAAAGCATGATATTTTTTTTTCCACCTTTCCCACACTGCACAATATTGAACATGAATCCTTTTGCACACCATCCACATTTTTAAATGTCATTCAAGCTGTTTGGTGCGTCATCACTGCATTCAAATGCATTAAACAAAAAAAGCATTATCCATAACTTGGATAAACGCAAGTTTACAAATACCTTTACAACAACTACCATAATATTATTCTCTGACATTTTAAAGGCCTAACTTTATAAGCTGATGATAAAAGGATTTTGAGAACTTTTTGTTTAGATTCCTTTTCCTGCATTGTCTTGATTTGACAAACACCCTGATTTTCCTTCCTCGATTTCTTCAAGTTATGTATAAACATCTTCAGCTTAAAAATATCCTGCTTTATAAGGAGCTGTCTATAGGAATATATTGATTTACAAGGGTTGGAAAATCCAGAACTTGCAGCAGAATAACTGATTAAAACAGCATAATTCATATCTTCATGTGTCATCAAGGAGCTAGATTGGGTTCATTATAGTTACAGAATGATAGACATGACCATTTGTGTGTCTTAATAGAGGTGTCCCCTGTCAGGGCTACTTCACCTCCATTAACAGATAGAGTTCTTTGCAGGGAAAGGCTGGTGATGGCGCAGTCAGGGGGAGGAGATGATTTACAGCCTCTGCTCCAGTTTTTCTAATCTGCAGTGTTAGAGAGGAAATGGCTTGCTGCCTATCTGGGTCAAACGCACGCAGACGGACATAATAGATTTGTCCAACTCCATGTAGAGCTGTGTGGCTCTGCATGTGCTTTTACTAAAATCCCCTCCTAAGAGCAGACGCTGTGCGTCACAGATGTGTGAGCGTTTCAAGGGTCTCTAAGATTACAGAAGACATTAACATTTAAAAGTACATCTGTTTTAGACTCACATCCACATGAAACCAGACGTTGTACTTTTTGCAGATGTCGGAGATGGCGATGAGGGGGTCGAAGGCTCCATACACTGTTGTCCCAGCTGTTGCGCTCACAAAGAAAGGTACGAACCCCTGAGGTGGAAAGGACAAACAACACACATCTTGTAGAGCGCCTTATTATAACAATCTGAGTCAAAATTCCTCTCCACATTATAATCATCATCATCATCATTATCACCAGGGCTGTTTCAGTTCAACGGATCCCATAAAATCAATGCTGTATGAAGTCGTAGCCATCTATTTATAGCGGGGACATAAATGCGTTACCTTCTGTTTTGCCTCCAGTATTCTCCTCTCAAGGTCGGCGGGGATCAGTTTACCGCTGCAAAGGACAAAAAGGCTTTAGATGTTTTTTGGGGGCTGCAGACTCATTGTGTAAAACTGATGTTTTATATGTGCAAAAATACCAAATTGATATATAATCTTGAATAATAAAGGTAAAGTAAATTACAAAAGTGTTTATAACTCTTGAATTATAGTCTTTATATTATTATATGATATTAATTTGTCAAATTTGAAGCCTGTTGTCATTAATTTAGGTCTTACAATAGCGGCTACCTTTTAATGTAGGTTTGACAATAGCGATATAATGGTGTAATACTCCTTTTTTAATCTCTCTGAGACTGAGCCTCTTCTTTCCAGGCATAACTTGGAATCACTTATCATTGCTTTTATAACTTCTAGCTGAGTTGTTTCATCTCCTGTTTATGCAGTCTGGTTAGTGTGTCCTTCTATCAAGTAATCAAAAAAGCAGCAGCACGATTCATAACAGAAACAAGAGCACAGCGTTCTGGTGAATCTTTGCTGCATGTCCTCTCCCTCTCTCTTTCAACCTCGAGTCTTGCAAAACTTAAATAAAAGACACTAATATTATATATTATAATTATATAATATATATATTTTTTTAATTGTCAAGTCATTAGAGGCGTGTACCAGCATGTTTGTCAAACCTGCTGATTTTTTTTTGAATGGAAAAATACAGTTTTTAGCATTGTGTGGGTCTGACATTTATTGCACTGTTTAGTCTGATTTGATCATACTATATTAGTGCTTTTAGGTTTTTAATTGTTTTTCCTTTTTCCCTGTGTTGTGCCTGTTGTGAAGCCCTTTGGTTGATTGTTTTATATAGTGCTATTTAGATTAACAAGTAATGAATTGGTAAATACAGTCACCAATCTCTGTATTTTATAAGCAGTTTTTATGAAAAGCAAACACAAAGTACTTGATACCCAAAAATAGCTATTTCTAGCTGTAAAAGCAAACACAAAACATACTTTTTGTCCCAGATTTATTTAACTTATAGCAGTTGTGTTGTGTTGAATATTCACACTAGCTTTAATCTAGTTGAATTGTTATTTTTAATAGGTATTATTTGTTGTTTCAATTTCCATTTTTTTAATCATACATTTGACAGGGCTTGAGTTCAATAAATAAAAACCTGTGCAACTAACTGGCACCCCAAGTACTGGGATGACTTTTTTTGGCCAACGGGAAAAAGGCTATGTGTGGAGGCAAAGGAAAACATGGTGGAGGCAGTGTAATGCTGTGGGAAGGTTTATCTCTAACAAGAATAGAAGTTGACAGGAAGAGACAAGGGGCTAAATAAAAAGGTTGTAGCTGAAAGGCTTCAGAGAGAGAAGGTTCAACTAAAGTGACTAAATTTCAACTACTGGGTAGATTTTTTGAAAAACAAGTCACTTCCAGACTGAGTTGTATGATTTGAATTGAGCTGAATGATTAATAAATAGATATTTATATATAAAAAAAAAACATCCAAGCAAAACCCTAAAAATAAAAACATTTCCCTATAAATAAAGTAATAAAGAGGTACACATTTGCGAGGTGAAATTGAATGCGCTCCTTGAATAAATAGCATTTTACCATTCATCAACCTTTATGCAGATCACGCTTTCAGTCCCAATGCCAAGAGCCGCCGCTCCTTTCTTGATGGAAAAATGGCTCTGTGAGATGACAGAAACAAAGCGGAATGAAAGCCCAGATCCCCACAGGTGGAATAAATCTGTGAAAACACACTCGTGATGACATATTTGTGTGTCATTTAACGGCTGTTGTGCTCACAGCATCTTTCAAACGGCCTTTAAAGATGAAAGAGGTGACATATTAAGTGACAGATACACTCCCCACCTTGTGACCTTCTGTGTTTGCTAAACATTATGTTAGGTTATAGGACCACAGGACTGAGCAAGGTTTGTCGTTGCTTTGTAGAAAAGCCACAGTGAAGATGAGAACTGGGCTGGAAAATCTGACATTTGGTTTAAAGGAACAGTGTTCATTGTTTGATGCTGGGAGGACATTTATCTGAATCCTTACATGTTCGGATGTGAAGGCCACCAGTCTGGGGACAGATGACATTCCTTTCTCCTTCACTTCAGGGAACATCTTAAAGCGGGCCAGCAGCATAGCATACATGTTAGAAATAGCACCACCTAGAGGAGACACAGACAGAAATGATGTTGGGCCTCCAGCTAAGACAAAGGGTAACTCCTTTGTTTTTTTTTTTTTTGTTCAATTAAAGTTAAATCATTATGTTATGATTAAATTTAAGCAACTTTTAGTATAACCTATTCCCTTCACTTCATTTATCACAACAGAATAGTTAAAACAGCCAAGTTGGAAATATAAAGAAACAGTTTTACATGTAAATAAATTTTACATTTTGATTGAGCTGAAACTAAACTTTAAAATGATGCCAGGAGGAGAAATAAAAAAATAAGTTAAAGTGCAGTAATTGAATAAAGTGCACAAAAAATGTACAGAATGTGCTAACACATGAGTCTAGACAAAGACTTTCTCAATTTTTGGCACAGCTACAAACTGAAATGCATTTTATCAGGGTTTCATAACACAAACTACTGCTTAATTAAAGTTTAATTAAAGATGAATGTTTTTCACATTTTAACAATTTTTTTGCTCAGCATTTGAAATCAATTCTTCATAGAACCACCTTTCTTTGCAATCACAGTTGTTGTTTTTTTTTACAAGCTTTGCACATTTCAAGACTCAAGAAATATTTATTTCTTCTTCTTTGAGCAACAGATCCAGCACAGATCGGATGGATAGCACACTAGGTTTAAAATATATTTAGGACTGTATTTTGTATCTTAAAGATGATTATGGGTTTGTTTAGCTGTTATTTTATAGGTCTAATTGAGCCACATTGCACGCAGGCAAAATGTTCAATTTTGTTCTCATAATGTTTGCCTGGTCTGCAGATTCATAAGCTAACCCTGATTTAGTGTTAATTGGTCTTCCTGAAGTTTCAGAAAAACTCTCTGATACACAATTAAACTTGTTCTGTATTTCCTATAAACAATTATAACCAGCATATTTGTACATTTTGTATTTGTTTATGTAAATTTTATACATAAATAGTTACATTTTTATTTTACTGTTTGTCATTTTTGCTTTGTTAGTTAGGATGACTAAACTTATTTCTAATTTCTTATTATAATTTCAGAATACTGAGCGAGAATTATTTAATTTTCCCTAAACCGAAAATTGCATAACATCCAAGACATTTTTTTGTCATTTTCAGAGTGCTTCAGTGATGATGTCAGTTTTTTTTATGCTTCTGAATCATAATTCACAATATTTGAGCTAAAAACTCTAAAACTATGGAACCTCAAAGCAAAAATATAAAAAAAAAACATCAGCCACAACACAAGGAAAAAGGTGTTCCATGTCATTTCATCTAGACTGCAGGGAAGTGACAAATTATGTGTCATAAAAGCATCATTTAAGGTGTAAAATGTGATGATCAAATGCAGAACAAAACACAACACTGACTGTAGATGGTATGAGAGTGTGACATCAAAACAAGTCATTTACTGACAGAAACTGAAATGCCACTCAGGGAGGAAGAATCAAATTATTCCAAAAGTAACATAAAAGGTTTGATTAGAGTTTTCCTGTACACTCAGATACAAAGATGTTACATTTGGTAAACATGTCCTATGTTTTGGCCATAACCGCGAAAAATGTAGAGACTGGCAAGTCTTAAAACAGTTCTGTATATATGATGATGTTTGAGAATTCTACAAAGCAGTTTTTCATTACTCTGATACTTAGCAGAGATAAATAATGTTGTTCATCCTAAAAGAAATTTGCGATATTTAGTCTGATTTCATGTAAGTAATTTCTCTACTTATGTAGATTATGTGAATTATATTTGCTAAGTAGATACAAACCTAAATACATTTTTGCTTTGTTTTTAAATGATATGTTTGTCCTCAAGACAAATGTACTTCAAAACAATTCTCATCAGCTGATGCCTTTTTCAAACATCAAGGTTCATATTAATGCCTTTCATCATTTTCCAGTTTCCATATAACATTTCTACTTTACATATATTTCATGTGCTGTAATTTATTTCTACTTCATCTAAAACATTAAGAGCAAAGATACAATATTTTCTTATATCTATTTTATTCAATAATCTATGGTTAGTTTGGAATAATTGCAGCAACAAGGATTTAACTTCTAAATCATGCTCTATCTCATCTCCTTCTATTGCATAAAATCTTAATAACAGTTAGCTTTGTAGACTTAGATTTAGACAACTTTTATAGTCTAACGAAATTTAGTTTTGTACAGTTTTCAGAACATTTCCATTCCATAAAGTGCAGCTGTGATCAAATATAAACAGTGTAGTGCAAAAATACATTGATATGAAAGTTGAGAGCATTAATACACGGTGTAATTATGCAGAATTTTGGTTTGGTGTTATCAGTGTGATTCAAAATCTATGATATGGTTTGGAGTTTTCTCAACAGTTCAGCAGCCTTATGGCAGTGGGGAAGAAGCTGTTGCAGAATCTGCTGGCCCTGCATTAAAGGCTGCTAAGCCTCTTCCCAGAGGGCAGCAGGGAGAACAGTCCATGGTGGGGTGTAAGGGGTCATTGATGATGCTACTAGACGTTACATGTAGCTGTAACATGATGAGAACTTTTCAAATTACTCCATCAAATGCATTCAAGAAATCTTTTAGGAAAATCAAGCTGATTTGATTTCTACCTTTGGTTTTTGAATGCCACCACCAGGAGTTATAGTCCCCTTCCCCTTCTGCTCCCTAAACAAATCATTCTGAAAGCTCCCCTCATCAACACGACAAAGAAGATCTGCTGTTTAGAGAGCAATCTAAGGGAATTCAGTGGTTCAGGCCTAACAGTTGCAGCTTCTTTATCAAACTACATCAGACGAGTGAGAGCATGAGGAAAGGGTGGTGCATGCTAATAATAATAATAATAATAATAATAATAAAGATTATATGCTAATTGCCCTCGAAACTGGTTCAATTTTAATCATCAAAATTTAAATTGACACATTGCATAAGAACAGCAGGGTCCATTTTACATAAATAAAGAAGGGAAGGGGGAGGTGCTTCACATACCAGGTGAGAAAATGCCGTCTCCTCGCCCGTCTGGCCAGCCAATGATCTCCCTCATCTTCTTCAAGCTGACGTACTCCAGCAGCACGAACACGGGAGCCACCTCATAGGTGAACCTGTGTTACACAAGACGCGTCACAGGCGCACACAAAATATGGTGCAATTATGACTCATCACCCCCAAAAAATACGATTAAATTGGCTGGAATTGTGTTTATTTTATAATCTTAAGATTAAAAAAAAAAAAAAAAAAAAAAAAAAAGGTAAAAGGATAAATTTAGAAAATGTGAAAATTTGCTCTTTGCACACTATGTTATTTTCTGAGTTTTTCAATAGTGCAAGAATATTTTGTGTAAGAGTTGCATTTTTTTAATAAAACATTTTTTTCCAGAAATAATTGGTATAATAAGAAAAGCAGCTTCATTCTGCAATCTGTCAAACCTCCCAGAGCCAAAGAGTTTATCAGCCTGAAAACACACACATCCAGAATTAGCTTCTGATTAGTCTGAATTTAATTTCAGAGCTAATTTACTTCCTTTGAATCCCTATGAGGATAAGAGGTGAAGGGGGGAATAAAAGGCAGAGTTGGGAGGGGTAAAAAAGGGTGAAAAGGGGGTGGAGGGGGTTCATTTGTCATGAATGGGTAAATAAAAAGCTGCTATCAGCTCCTGCAGACGCAGAGCAGAGTGCAGAAGGATGCAGCAGGAAATGGAAATTCATTGTCATCACTGTGGTTATCAGCACTCTCCATCGTGCTGAGGCAGGCCACATATACTCACATGTTGGTGTTGGCCGTGGATGTCAGCCAATCGGCTGCCAGTCCGACCATGTCTAATCCTGTGGAGAGCTGATTGAAGTACCTGGGGTGGGCTGGAAAAGGGGAAGAAGGAGGAGGAAAGAGAGAGAGAGAAGGAGGGAGAGGAAGAGGAATGCAATTTAAAAAGGCTTTTGTTAGGAAAACTGCAGAGAAAGGAGCAGAACTGTCATTTCAGAAATGCTTTAATTACAGAGCAGGAGCTGAGATGCAGAGAGGCTTTCTAAATCATCTGAGCGAATGGTGAAAACATTCACTGGTGCAGCGGGTGCTGTTGGGATTTATTAAAGGGTAAACACGCCCAAAATTTGCATCGGTGTTCCATAATCACATGCTTTTTAAAGAGACAGGAAGAGCGGTTGAATTTGTCTACATCAACATGCACATTCTGCCATTTCTAATCATTATTCATCCTTTGGGTGAGCTGTAAGAATACTTGAAATATATACCTAATATATAAAAAATCTACTAGAACTGATACATGCATCAAATGAAGCAATAATATATTATTATATGATCAAAACAGGCCATGTTCCTTATTTACAGGTGCTGAAATGTGTCTGATTCTGCTTCTATAAATGTGTCATCCGGCAGAGAATAATGGACTTGGCCTATGAAGCCTGATTATTAGCCTATTATCTGCCGCCTGCTGAACCAGATTTACTGCGCCGCCGCATTTATCGGTCTGGTGGCCATGCAGCAGCAGCAGCATGAGGAGGAGGAGGAGGAGGAGGTGGAGGAGGCGAGGGGGGAGTAAGAAAAGGAGGACAAGTTACATGTCGACTCTCCTTCCAACGTGTTATTTTAGTATCTAAAGGCAGGACCAAAGCGTTGGAAAATAAGGATACTTCAAATAATACAATTATAAAATACACACCATAATAACTCCCCTCAAAAAATAAAGTAGAAAATGAAAACAGAATGTATAGATGCAAGCCCCACCCAAAAGATTTTGTTTAACAAAACATATATTTTTGATATCATCTAAATCAAGCAGCTTCAGGAATGTCAAACAATATTTCATTCATTGCTCAAATTTATTTCATTTATTTCCTTTTTTTTTCTTTGCTTCAATAAAACAAATTTCCTTGTTTTTGGATTCAAATAATAATGTCTCATTGTTACAATCTGCTTTCAGGCCTTAATCAATTAGCTGCACAAATTAAAAAGAATTAGGGATATTATGTGCATGTCGCTGAAAAAAATAATGCAACTGTTTTTGGCATTTACTTAATCATATTTAGTTACTTTAACACAATTGTTTTATGTCCTACCCTGCTAAAATGAAACAGTTGTGTTAAAGTGAGTAAATATGATTGAAAAAATGGCAAAAAAAAAGTTGCATTATTTTTTTTAGTGTAAGTGTTAATGGTTTAAGATGTAGCATAAAAAATAATTGACTAAATATATAAAGTGCTGACCAGTTTTGATGGCGTATTTGAGAGTCGCGCGGCAGCTGATCAAGATGTCATCCAGTGTGGCCGGCTCATCCTGCAGCTCCCAGTTGTTGAGCTGCAGCAGCTCGTTGGGATAATGAAAATCGATCACTTTAGTTTCCCGGTCGAAGGACTCGACTATGTAGGCCAGTAAAATATCCACGACCTCCTGCAGGAAGGTCATCGTTTTTGTGTCTCCGTCCGTTGCAGGCAGCAGGTCTGAGAGCATTGGAAAATGTAAATGAAATGTAACTTTATCTAAGACAGATTATATCTAGATGTGATGGAATTCGTGAGTTAAAAAAAAATAAAAAATCCAAACTGGATTTTGTTGTTAAACTATCCACCTTTTTACACAACAAAACAATACAGACATTTTGGTTTCAAAAAGGTTATTTTTTTACGTCTTTTTCTTAACATCCTACAGAAAATCAGACTTAGGTGAAGGTGACCTCTGAGGGAAAAAAGAACCCCCCTCAAAAACTATTAAAAATATGTAAAAATACGTCCATTATTTGATTTTTAAACAGAAACATTTTTCATTTACTTATGTCTTTAGTACAATCATAGCTTTTATATTTTATTCAAACGAATAGTTTCACATTATTATAAATATATAAAGGCCTGGTATTTTTTAAAATAACAAATAATTTCTTTTGAACCCTCTATAGACTATTATGGCTTGGAGGAAAAAAGGGCCTTGATTTTAAAATATTTGGCTTATTAAATATGAGAGACAATTTAAACAAATGTAATAGCTTTTTCGTTGTGTAATTAAAATGGTAATGTTGTTCTCGGATTAGATTATTTAGTTTAGCAGCATTTGCAGTCTATACCTGTTGAATAGAGGTCTGAGAAGCCCACATCCACGCCTTTGGTGCAGGTGCAGGCTTTGTTGCAGCCGCAGCTCCCCGCGGCGGGCTGCGGCGGCTGCTTGGCTGCCGGCTCGGCGGGTTTCTCCACCTCCCCGACATTCAGCAGCGCTATCGGCATGAAAATTATAACAAATAATATGCAAAATAAATAAATAAACGAATAAAAAGAAAACGGGAAAACAAACAAAAAAACAACAACAGAATAAATACCCTATAACAGTCTGCAGGCCATGCATGAGATAAAAAAACACCAGATTCAATGCAGACATACCACATAATTTTGATCCAAACCCTCCGGGTAATTTCTGGGCAGCTGCTTGGCACCAAGCCCTTGCTGGAAGACATATGAGAATGTGCACACTTCAGATTATTTCTGAAACTTTATTTTAAAGGTAAGAAAATAAAATGTTTAGGATCAATTTAAAAAGCGTCCTCTTTGAGTGCAAAAAAGAAGAAGTGAAGGATCGGGCCTGTCTGCTTCTTTTAGACAAAGCTTTGGCATGACTGGTTCGGCTCCAATGAGGTTTCCATGAAGCCCTCCAAAAAAAAAAAAAAAAAAATTAGACCAAAAGCCACTCACTGGTACTGGGGCTCTGGCTCCCGGTGTTGGCCCCCGCATTATCCCCGCCGAGGGACCAGAAGCCGTGTGAAGCCATTTGTCGCCGGTGGTTAGGAGCTGCAGGAGACGCGGGCAGCAGACGCAGAGCCCATCCACACGGAGCTGTCCACGGCCGCTGTGGTGCTGAATGTGAGCAGAGAGCTCTCTGCGCGCCTGCAGACGCAGCCGCGCATCCGACTCACCGCTCCGTGCGGCGGGGGAGAGCGTCAAAGACACGAAACACAAAGAGAGTCCACAGGTGCAGGAGGCATGGAGCAGAGTGTGCGCATAAAAATCCGCAAAAAAAGCGCTTTTTTTTCAGTTGGCGCAGGCGCTCTCTAAAAGCATTAAAAAACAGAGGAGTAGCTATGAGGAAGTTCTGAATTCAGGAACTGTTTTAAGGTTACCTTACACCTTTTCAGACACAAAGAAAAGCACAAACAAACACAGAGGAGAAAAAAAATCAAGTGTTGATGTGGAGAAAAACATCCAGAGCTGTCTGTAAATATGCAACACCAGCCTTGCCGAAAAAATCACGTCAGCAAAGAAATCCCTGCGCGAATCACTTCAGGGTCATGACGAACCGCGTTGCGTCGTGCGTCGTGACTCCGTCCACCCCCAACATTTTGTCCCTCATGATCGCTTAACTTACCCTCCGCACAGGCACAGAATGCCAACTAATTCATCTGCCCGGCAATTACAGACCTATTTCTTTGGCGAGCGGCTGCTCTAATTGCCCGCCTCCAGAGGAGGAAACTGTGGGCGGGGAGGAGAGGAGAGGAGCTCTGTTCAAAAACACAAAACAGCAGGCTCATCCTCCTCTGTTGGTGCGAATTCGCGTCTAAAATATTCAGAACATATTTACTTTAAGAGCGGCCCTGATTGTTGCAGTTATTAATGCAAAAGATGTGATTTTTATTTTAAAGAAAACTAAATTTCATTTTTCCAATATTCCATATTCCATAGTTCTTCAAACTACTTTAAATACCCCTATAATATTAATTATAATCATAGTAAATCCAAATTACAAGCTGAGAGAAGTTTAAAAATATTGGTTCTTTTTAGATGTAGAAACAATTTAAGTGGATTTTTGTTTTAAAGCTTTTATTAACTAAACCTGCCGGGTTCTAACATTTACAAATTTTGTAAGAGTTTTTCCTCTATTTATTGTTTCTTGTAATTCTTGAGCTTTTCTCTCAATTCAATCCCCAAACCTGTAAATGTTCTGTGATAGCATTTTTCTTCATTATGAGGTTGAATATGACTTTTCCATGACTTTCACAAAATTCAACAGAACGAATTAAATACTACTTTTTGGCTGTAATCCTGCTTTTTAAAGTAAGTGACAAAACTGGCTTTCTATTTTAGAACTCCATTACTCAACAATGTGTTAAGGGAAATGCTCAAATAATGTTTATTCCCTTCAGTTTGTGATTTATCTAGAAAGCAGATTAGGGTTTAACATGTTCCTTTTAGATTTAATAAAAAAATATATTTTTTTTAGAGTGTGATAATATCCTGCACTTTAGGCTTCAGACATACACAATATTCCTAAATGTTCTAATTTTAACAACTCATGTGTCCATAGTTTCATCTCTAGAAATACATGACAATACAAGGGAAACTTTGTCTACTTCTATGGAGCTAAAAATCTCATTTAAAATCAACCCATAATACAGAGTTTACACTTTCTCACTGCATTTAACCTGTGAATCTTTTGAAATTGCCATCAATGTTTTTTTTTTTTTTTAAGTAAGTATGTCCCAAGTGAAATAGGCCTTGTCACGATTGCTACAATACACCTTATGTCCCCTCTTTGAAGTGTGTTCTTGGTAGAGTGCATTTAAGGGTTTCAGAATTGGGACAACAGGTTTTTAATAAACTTGCACCTCTGTCCTAACTGTGACATCCAAAAAGGTGGACCTGTCAATGTTTTTGCTATCCTACAGCTAGAAACTATTTTAAAACTACAAAAAGTTTGATATTTTCACATGCAAATATGAATTATTTCAATTATTCCAATGTTTTTCACATTTCTTCAGCACTGAACTTCCATCACTGCCTTCTTTTGACTTTTTGCAACACACAACATAAGTGAATGGTTGGTAATATACTTTAACATATTTTGCTTAGATGCACTGTTGCAAATGTGTCTGGAAGAAAAAACACTATAGATAACTGAGACCCACTGTGCACTTGAACCCATTATTGGAAACATTCAATTTAGGGAAACAACGGTGGAAGTTCATGTATCAAAACATGGCCATAAAAAGTGGGAATCACCATAACAAAGAATGACTCAGCATTTTATGGGATTTTAGTAATTCAAATACATTACAGTCCTATTTTTTGTGATCTTTTAATCGATTCCTAACATGGCTTTGTCAATGACTTACTTTAAATGTTTTTATTTCAATTAAGCTTAGTAACATCTCAGCAGCTTATCAAAATAAGAATTTAAGTCCAGAATTTAAAACGTAAAACAATGAACATCAGCAAAGACTACCATAACAATTATAACAAAAGAATACAAGTTAATAACTTAACACTGAATCTAGACTAATTTCCTATTTAGGCTATCAATAGCACAATAGCACAGTTAGCAGATACAGGAAGTTAAAGTAGCAGCTTATAACATGGATCTATTACTTTAAAGATGAAAATTGCAATGGGATATGCATTTATGATATAACACATTGTAAAATGAAAAGCAATGTAGTTAAATAATATATATATATATATATATATATTTTTTTTTTTTTTAGAAAAAAGGGTGATTTAGAAGATGAATTATGGAATTGTCAATGATCAGTGAATCTTTATTAGTATAACAAATGCTAATACCCTTTCTGTAGTTAACAATGTTATTTTTTGCATGTTTCCACCAGTGTTATAAAAGTTCATCTTTAGTATTAAACAAACAACAAAAAAACAAACTAAGAATAGATGACCCCTTTGCCATTATCCTCTGTATTGGGTTCTACAAAAATAGCTTTATCCTGTATAATCAACCAAAACTTCTTGGTAAAAGCTTCTTTTTTTTCAATCTGAAAGCGATTTTAATCCTTTTGGCCAAACTTTATTCATTCTGAATGGTGCAATATTGAGTTTTCTGGCTTATTTTACTAAGCCTATTTAGTATCTAATATCTGGTAATATAATGTGTGTTCTTTGTGTATTTCCTGTGAGCCTTTGTCAGTTATTGGGGGGTTTTCTGACTACCCCTGTGGGAGTGTTCCTTCTCTGAAATGTCACATAAAGGTTATGGTTTGAATCTGAGGGAAATAAATGCACGATGTGTAAAAGAGTAATATTACAAATCACATGGGCTAGGTTGATAGCAACATGACATTTTCCACAAAGGATTATTTTTATATTTAGATAGTATATGTGAAGTAGTGAAGTAACAACAAAGGGAAAAAAGGGGATTGGCATAAGATAGTCTAAGTATATGTTAAAAGATAAGACACACAGGAAACGGGGGATTTTAAAATACTTTGTTTAAAATAGGACATTACAATAGGATTACACTTTTTCTTTAACATGACCAATCTGACGTTTATTTTCCAAAAGAGTATCTTTGAAAATTAATCAAAATGCGAAGTTTAGGAAAATGGACAACAGCTTCATATCTTTCCATGTTTAAAGAGACAATACAATTTCTTATTCAATGACTACACTACAGACAATATAAATAAATCTTAATTTACAGTAGTTTTATTACATGCAAGTTTGTTATTTACAATTCATTGCTGAACAAGAGCATTTCAAAAACCACTGAAACATTCTCTCTGCAGGAAGCATTACAGAGATATACCGTTAACATCTTTAATATCTCTGCAGGAATGCACTGCAAAGACTGCATCGGATTTTCTCCGTTCAGTACTTTTTAATGAGCCTTCGTCTCTGCGACGTCTTCCTCAGCAGGTGCCTGAAATCATACGGATTATCTCCACTTCGGCTTTCTGTGGAGGACATTCTGAGCATGGAACGCCTGTAACACAACAGAGATGTGGTGCTATTAAACGTATAGGGCAGTATAGATGGGAAAACAAAAAAAACATGCAGAGGAGATGCTTGTGAAGATGGAAACATAAAAAACAAAAAGTAAATAAAAAAAGAGGGATATCCAATGATTGATGTTAGGGATAGTGAGGTTTTCATATTGTTTTTCATCTTCTACCATTCATCATCTGATCTATCTGAGACAACACAAGATAGATGTTCTCTTTGTCCTTTTAGAAGCAACTCAGAGCATCTATAACCTTTTTCAAAATGTACATTTCTGAACAACTTGGTTATGTAAATCTAAAAAAAAAAAAACCTACTGTATTATGGAATTTGTTAAAAAGCGGATAAAAGATTGCTGCAAATCTGTCAATACCAACATGAGACATCATTAGGCTATACTGATGTGTTAGAGGCCTTTAAGTTGAAACATAAATAGAATCACAAAATCTTGCTATTTTTAGTTCTCCTAAAACAGACAAAATAAAATTCACACAAATATTAAGAATAATGTCCAGTTGAATGTCCAAATGAACACCTTTTTATTTGCACTAATAAGGAAGGAATAGGAGGAGTTTGCAACCTACACAGAATAAAATGTTTGTTTTTAGAATTTTCAGAAATAAGACTTCCATAAAATATTAATTAAAAATAAAGGTTTATGCTTAAAGTCGCTTAGGAATCTATAAATCATCAGAAAAGCAGACTAGATCTGACCGTGATCTCAGTCCTTGCATGCCATTTTAAGTACAGTAAGGTTGTTTCCTTTACTGACAGAAAATGCTGAGGCCAGAATGGTGATACCCTCCTGCCATCCAGCAGGGATGGTGGCAAGAGTTGTACAGGAAGACTTTCCACTAAAACTAACTTAACTGACCTCAGTGCTGTTTCAGAATATCTCAGAACAGTGGCCCAAAAATGAGATCCGGGATAGATAAATGAGAAAGTTGGTGTGCAGACTGAGACTTCTTTGTCTATGTTCACACAACAGGAAAATATGACCAGGTTGGGATATTTTTGCACACATGCAACCCCATATCTAAAGACGTATCTGTAAGCCAATTTTCACACATGGTTAAAAAAATGAGACGCATATTTTAAAAGCACTAGCCTTCTAAATGTAATGCCACTTTTATACCCTCTTCCTGGTTCTACAGACTTTTAAATCTAAATCATACAGACAGTAGCCTCAGGGTTGTTTAATATATTAGTAGTGTTGCACCGATACCGATACCAGTATCGGACAGGGCCCCGATACTGCCCTAAAATGGTGGTATCGGTATCGGCCAATACTGCACAGCCAGGTATCGGGTATCGGGGCCAAAAAATGGCATCGGCGCAACACTATATATTAGTAGTATGACCTTGGAGAAGAAAATGTATTTTAACAAAACATCATAAATGAGTATCAAGACATGCTGTACAAGTCTAATTCCAAAAAAAGTCCTATATTTTGCACACTTAAATATGTAGTTGGTTAGATGGCAAATAGTTCAGTAGGGGACTGAGCACTCATCCCTGTAGAGCTCCAAGGTTAACTATAATGGAGGAGGAGAGGCTTGACAGTCTGTGGTTGGTGGAGAGGGTGAGATGGATCAGCTTTTTAATGAGGATGTCTGACAGGATCCAGGTGCCCTTAGATGACTTCAGTTATACACTGCATGCTACATAGACCTGTTTTTCACATATGCATGTTGATGATCTTGGCACTGATGACTGGATTATTTGTTAATTTCTTCCACCTGCTTAACTCCGCCCAATTTTCATTTGCTGTCATCTGATCCACCTGTTCCAGCTTCTATTTAAGCTGCCTGTTTCCAGCCATTAGTGCCAGATTATTTGAGCCGAGTGTGAGAGTTCTCTAGCGTACCCAGTAGTGTTTGATTACCTGATCCTGACCTATTTCTGTCTCTGGAACCCTGAGTTTCTGTTTGCCCCTGTTTCAGTCTGTTTCTGCCTGTTCTGTCTTCGGACTGCTGTTTGGATTCTGCCTGTTATGACCCTTGATCTGTCCCCTGACCCTGGCTTGGATTTTCCCTTCGGTACCTCTTCGTCTTTCTGATCTACTGGCCTGGACTTTTGCTTCTGGTTCGTCACTTGCTCTAGATTCTAACTCCAGATTATTCTGCTCTTCCTCTGCCTGCTGGCTTCCGCTCATCAGTCTGCACTTCCCCACACCTGGAACTCTCTGGGAGAGTTCTGCCGCATGCTGTGGAGAAATCATCCGACTGGTTTCCACTCCTTCCTCTGGTCACGGACAGAACTTAATAACAAGGATCCAGTAAGCTGTTCCCTGCTGATGAGCCGCAGTACTCTGAGCTTTCAACAAACCTTTTTACTTTTACACAAACCTGTCTGCCTGAATTCTGGGTCCTACTTTCTAACCCTTGACAATGCATGGTGATGTGAATCAAGAGATGGTGTCAAATGAGCACTAATATGAAGAAAGACAAGCCTTTTCAAAAGAACTTCATAATGACTATTTAGGTCATTGATTACTTTTCTTTAGGAATGGGTAATATAATGGAGGATTTAACTTAAAACTTACGTTGCTCCACATGTTTCTGTGTTTTTCTGCAGATTTTTGTCATTGGTAATATTTACAACAGGTTGGCACAAAAGGTGTGTCCAGAAGACTGCTGAACGTGCAAGGGGGTCAAGGGAGGGTTGTAGTCACAGCTGAGATCAACAGCGGCGCAGTGATGCACATTTAGCGTGCAGAGCTATCCCGACCACAACAGTTTGATTTCTGTCAACCGTCTTCAGCAGAGAAACAAGCAATGGCTGGAAGGGAGGAAGGCTTTGTGTAGGAGTTCACAAAGCTCTGGTAACTCTCTGAAACTTACTAGTTTCAGAGACTCTGTGTAGTTTCTCTCCTCGGACACACACTTGCATGACCATCAGTAAATATCTTAACTAAACGCTCTTGATAGAAAGAAAAACTAATAATGTTCATGCCTTGTGATCAACTGGGACAAAATTAATGTTGCAATATTATTTTAGACGAGACCAACTGCTTTTTGTCACATTTTGATGCATTTTCTTTTTTTAATAATTATATCTCTTTATATTAATGTTTTTATTTTCAATAACATTTAGGTCATTTGACTAACTGCCAAGGAACTAATGCAAAATTGTTTAACTTATTGTTCATCCCTAAGGGAACCACCACTCCCAAGCGTAAAGCTGCTCATATCACTTTTTCTTAATTACATCACATCCCGGGGTAAACCAAATGCAAAAATCAGATGTAGTGACCCCAAATCAATAATCCAAAATGATGATTAATAAAATAATCAGCCTGTTTACCAGGAAGTGGTGCATCCCTTCCAGTAAATTAGGGAGTTTTATTATTTCTTCCTAGCAGAATATACCTGTTGTCTTGCTTTGTGAGTCTTGGAGGCTCGGGTTCACTGACAGCCCTCTCTCTCATCTGTCGAGTAGAACCTGACGATCTTTGCTCTGTGGACGTCCGCCTGTCCCCATGATGACTCCTAAGGGTCGATCGTCTCCTGTCCATGGACTGTCTTCTCTCCATTGACTGTCTCCTCTCTACAGATTGTCTCCTCTCCGGTTTCCCCCTGACAGCTGTGCTCTCGGTGGTCATGCAGGGTTCGGACCTGCTGGTGGACAGGGTGTGGTAATATTGGTCATCCACATCAAGCAGCTTTCCAGGACTGGAGATCAAAGAGAGAAAAATTGTGAGATTAGTGGATTTTAAAACTTTACCAATTAACAATTAAACCCAGAATAAAATAAAATCTTCTTATAATTTTTTTAACACAATAGATCTCTGCTCTTGACTGAGACATATTGGGAAGAGATGTTAGCTTGAGCTTCGTATTGGAAACTCTCCCTTGTATCCACTAATCTGCAGCTGCTTCAAAACTTTGCTGTATGTCTATAAATCAACGCTAAAAACCCATTTCTTTTAGAACGCCCTTTGACTGTTAGTTTAACTGTTACCTGTTATGTTTCATTAAGTTAAAGTTTGTGGTCCAACTCTTTTTATTTTCTTTACTACCTGCTTTTATCTTTACTTTACTTTACTTCTCTTTATTTTTTTCCGCTTTTGTTTTATTCTAATGTTTCATTCATGTAAAGTACTTTGAATTGTCTTTGTACTGAATTAGAATATTAGAATAATTAGAATTGCCTTACTGAAAGGTGTCATGATCTCGGCACTGATGACTGGCCTAATTGCTCATTTCATCCACCTGCCAAACTATGCCTGGTTTCCAATTACCACTCATCTTATTCACCTGCTGCTGCTTCTATTTATAGTCCAGTGACTCAGTCCCAGTCATCGTGGCCAGATTATTGGTGATGCTCTTGCTCTTATTCATGTTCTCTGTCTTGGGGGCCAGTGAAGAGAGGGTTTATTGCGTTTCCTAGTATTTTGGATTTCCTGATTCAGTTCTGCCTCTCATCTGAGCTTGCCTGTTCCCGTCTGAACATCCTGCCTGAACTATCTGTAAACTCCTGGAACCCCCCAAACCAGGCTGTTCCTGTTCCCATTGGCATCCCTGACTGGGCTCCGGACTCCGGACTCCTGGACCTCTAAGCCTTCCTGTTCTGATCTGCTTCCCTGACCTGCCTCAGACTCCTGCTTGTTCTCCAGGGCTGCAGCTTCTGGGACACTCTGGGTGGTGCCTGCCGCATCTCCTTGGTAGCCCACCGGCTGGATTCTACCTCGTTCTGTCCTTTTTCATGACAAAAAGTACTACAGTATAAATGGGTTCCATGACTTTTACAAAAAGCTGTCCTGACTTGTATAACAAAAACTCATTCTTTACTTGCAGAAATTGTAGTAAGAATATATTACATTTCCAACTGGTTTCTGGGTGTAACACCAGTGTTATGGAATAACGGAAAGTTTCCAAGATGTTCCAGGAGGCTGCATCCCATCATGACGTATACTTCAGAGACAGACTGAAAAGCAGCTGTTGCAGTAAATTGCAGATGCTTGCAGTAAAGCCTTCTTTCATGCTTTTCCTTCTTTGAGACCTTCCCTGAAATTTACTATCATTTATGCACAGTACAATTCACTTCTTATCACCAGTGTTTTTCTATCGTCTATCCTCCTTTGCCGTCACCTCCATCCGGCGCTGCCGTCGTTTCTCCTGACCTTCTCATCCTTAATGATGCATGTAAACTGCTCCTGTCCATTCCTGGCTTTATTTATCTGCTAACAAATTATTCCCCTTGATGTTTAGTGCATCGTTGCATCGTGTGTGGGTGTGTGGTTGGTATGTGTGTCTTCCTCAAGCTGTTGTGATAAAGCACCCTGGCCTCTTACTTGCTCAGCCATCCCTATCTGTCCATCTTCACCCCCTCGCTCTGGGTGGTAAACTCACCTTGCGGCTTGTGCAGAACATACATATGCATGAATAAACACATGGACACACACTTTCCAAGAGGTTCATCAACTTACTTCTTAGAAAAAAGAACTATAACACCCATATTGCAGGTCTGATAAATTATCTAGATAACTTGAGAGAGTAATTTAAAGAGAGGATGAGTTTGTTAAGACCATAACTAAGTTTAAGTCTGGAAACATTCAACATGTCAGGCATTTGGCCTTCCTTCAGGCCAAGGTATAAAAGTGATATAATATCTTAAAAAAAGCGAGTTGAAACAAGAGTAATATGCTTACTCCTCTTTTCTTGGCTTGCGTTTATCATCCTGGACAGATCTCTGTATCGGAGAAGAGAGAAAATCAAGTTTTAATATAAAAACTGAAATAATATTAAAATATAATAAATTTACAATTAGCCTACTATCAAATTAAATTAAAAGTAAGAAATTACAAACATTTACAATGGAAGTACTTTAAAATGTGTCTCAACTGGTGCCAGAATATCTTCTTTGGCAGACATTACACAGTAGTACACAAACACAATTAAATGACAATTTTTATGAATGAAAATAAGCTTTTAAAATACAAAGAAGCACATATTACAGTTGTTGGCTCATTTAGGAGGTTAAAACTATTAAAAAAGCTGTTCTTATTTTGGGAAGTTTAAAGATTAGTTCTTATTTACAGAAAATGAACATTACAAATAGAAAAAAAATATTTCTTGCAGATGTTCTTTTAGGCCAGTGGAACATTTAATTTGATGTATTATGGGAGCAGATGGAATGAGAGATGAGATGGGAGAGTTTGACATTTAAAGTTTTTTTTCAACAGCTGGCTTGAAATCCGGGGGAAAAAATTGTGTTGTGTTTCATCAGCTTTAAATAGTTTCACCAACTATCAATAAATATTCAAAAGATTATCTCTTTGTTGTTTTCTAGTTTAATATAATTGACAATATGAAAAGATTTTCCTGGAAAGATTTTAAAAGAACTATATTTAATTAGGATTGATTCTGTATAACTGGATACAAACTGGACTGTGTTTTGCAAAGTACCCTGAGCCTTTTTCAGTGTTTTATCTTGCAAATATAATTTTCTCTTGAGAAAAATACACTAAAACATCCAGGCCCCTCCTGATAATAGAACAATACTAAGAAATCCTCCAGAAATTGATAACTGGGCTTCGAAATGATATAAACCAAAGATTTTGCTACAGTATATACATGTAAATGTAATCAAAACATAAAATTAATGGCGTTATCATCCATAAAAGCACTTTTGTTTAATTCAATCAAGAACTGAACCTCTGTTTTTTTTATACTCAATATAAATACCTTAATAGGATCTCCTTTTAACTTTAAAGTTCTACAAACTAGTTTTATAGAAGACCTAACATCAAAAGCACAATGCAGATTTAGGAATTTTGTTTGTTTTAAGGTTTAAGGTTACTTAATAATTTGTCATACCACAGATAATGAAACAATTACAATATGAAAATATAGGACAGCAAAAAACAAAATACTTTAATTTCTAGGATGAAAACCATGTCACACACACATATATATATATATATATATATATATATATATATATATATATATATATATATATATATATATATATATATATTCAAAAACATTAGCAGTTAAAGCCCCACCAGCACAATCAAAAAACAAACCAATCAATGGTGCTCTGTAAAAGGCAACAACTGGGAAAGCAATTACCGCTTTGAAAAGTTTGTTGACAAAGGTATCCTGAATCAATCACCATCTTTTCTGCTACTCACATGAATGAGCGTGTAATAAGTGGAGTCCTCCGGTGTGTTCAGGGTCTTTGGTTGTTGCGTTCTGCGGGGGGTTCTTGAAAATCTCTTATCAGCTGAAAAAGTAACAAAGGCATTTAAAAACATCAGGTGGCAGTTCTGCAGTTCGGAGCTTTAGCTCGCTGAAATATACCGTATATATATAAAAAAAACAGAGGCAAACACATTTCTACATCCTCTGGTAAAGGAAAAAGGAGAGACCCTCTCTCTCTGTGTGAGGGGCAGTTAGTGTCTGTAAGCTTAGGCTAATCAAACTATTATTAGTTATGATTAAAATGTTTGCAGCTCAATATTTAGCTTATTTTCATATAGATTAATGCAGCTGCTTTTTTCCCCACAAAGACATTCAAAATAAATCAATTCTAGATATACATAAGAATTAAGAAACATTTGAAAATCCAATACCACAAAAACAATAATTCAGCGAGTAGATACCAAATATCCAAAGATATTTTTTTCTGTTAGAAAGCTGGCTTACATCATACAGTTAAAGAAAATACAACCAGGGGAATCTCTTTAATAGACAATATCTTAAAGTCATTTTTTTCAGTAATTCAGTTCAAAAAGTGAAACTCTGGTATTATATCAACTCATTACACACAGAGAGAAAGGGTAACAAGCGTATAATTATGCCAATTTTGATCATTCTAGATTATTGCTAATAATTCTAAAAATGTAATTGAAACCAAGGTTGCTTTAATAGCATGTTTCAGTTTGCCAACTTTGTTGGATCTGTCACCTCTCATACTTATCTTGAGGATACTGAATAGATTCTCTTTACAGTTAAAGTCAGGCGTTTTTGTACTTTAATCAAAGACAGCGTCACCATGGTCATTGAACCAGCATTTGGTTTCTTTGGCAGTGTGAACCTGTACCAAGATCAGTTTGAAGAAGTACTTTAAATTTCCCCAGCTGCTAGTATGACTTTACGCTTGATAAAACACAGTCAACCAAAACCAGCAGAGGACATGGATCCCTGAATCATCATATGAAAATAAGAATAAAGAAGCAAGTTTATCTTTAATGGCAAATGTGTATATGTTCTATATTTATAAATCTTTATATCTGTACAGTTTTGTCTTAAATACGGTTCAGGGTAGGTCATTATTTCAGCGGATGATATGTTTTATAGTCAGTGTTCCACTACTCTAGATAATGATTCAGTTACAAAATGAGTTGACGATTATTTCAGTCATCAGTTAATCTTGAGTAATGAATACAATGAATTATTTCAGCCCTTGAGGAACCTTAATAAACTTTATATTGTGTCTGTTTTCTCTCCCCATAGACTCTGGGCCAATGTTTTCCCAATGAAATGTAAAAAAGTAAATGCACCAGTCTGCTTCAGGTAAGGCTTGGTATAACACATTTTAGAGTAGCGAAGTTCTGAAACAAATATGGAGTGTGGTGGCCTAGTGGTTAGGGCATTGTACTTGGATCACATAGGTTCTGAGCTCAAGCCCCACTCCCACGGACTGCTACTCTGGATCCCTGAGCAAGACCCTTAACCCCACACTGCTGTCATTGTGGAGCCTCACAATGACAGCCAACTGCTCCCCAAGGGGATGGGTTAAATGCACAGGGTTTTTTTCATTGCTTTGTACTTGTGACAGTGTGATGACAATAAAGTTGAATTCTATTCTTAACTATAACCATCAAAACTGAGAGAAACACATGCAACTGAAATATAGGACAGTGTAATAAATAAATGAAAAATTGATTTAGTCTTCAACTTATCTAAATAAATTACGTTTTTAATGATATTCTATCGTTTGTTGAACCTTTCTTTCTTTTTTAACATGTCAAGAAAAACACAGCAAAATTACAGCATGAAATATTCTGTTTATTATATGCAAAACATAAAAGTATTGGAGGACATGCCTTAATGAAGATTTCTGCAATGTTTGAGACAATTACATCTTGACAGTGATCTTAGAGACAATTGGATTTTTTTAACCAGGAAATTACATTTGAGATGTATTTTCCCCACATTCATTAAGTATTTTTTTTCTGGTGTTTTTTTTTTTTTTTTTACATAATTATGTGTGAAACAGCTGTTTAAAAAAAGCTTCCCATAAATTCCTTATCATCCATGTTGTGCCTGTCAAGATGCACGCATTCTACCTGAGCTTTAATTTGTCATAATTTCCCTCATCGCTCTCCTAGACAGTATCACTCATCTATGTTATTGCAATTATAAACATATTAGACTGACCTTTGCTTGCTGTTTATTATTAATGTGCAAACTGGCAGAGAAATAATCCATCATATGCAGAAGCACCCAGGTAAAGAAGATGAAAAGTGTCAAATGTTATTAAACAACTCCAACCTAAAGGTCATTCTCTTTCAAACAGTCGAGTAATGCTAAGTTTAAACATCGTCATATTAATTTCTGCCATAATTGTTGGCTCCAAAAACATGATTAACTTTTGTTGACCTTTTCTATGAAGAATAGTGGGGCAGACATTCCTCTGCTTTCATTGCATGTGGCGCTAATGATTCTGGCTGAGCTTATTGTGTCACCGCAATTCATGTGGACAGATTAGCTCTGTGTTTGGGAAAAATATTCTTAAAGATGGAGACATGTTTAATTTCCTATGCTGGCCCCTAGAACTTACAGAGATAACTGATTGTGTTTAACATCAAGCAATGTGCTGTGTTGGAGGAATGTCTGTAAAGGGCAAAAATCGTTTTGTCCGGACATCTTTTTTTTTTGGCAGTGGGTAACAACAGAAGCTAGGTTAAGACCACCACTGTGAAGTTTAAAGAAATCTTCTTGTGCTTTTAGGGTGAGTCGGAGGCCTACGGGCGCATTGCTGCGCTCTATGTATATGCTGAAAATTGAAAAAAGTGCAAAGAAAGTTCAGCCTTTTAGAAGATTCTGGGACATCGGCATAAGCTGGCTAAATCGTCATCGTGTTACAGCGCCATAACACTGACTGCCTGTAGGTCAGATAATAGAGTTTAAAATCCTTCTGTTAGTCTATAAATCACTGAATGGATCATAACCTCAATACATAACAGATCTGTAGTCAGTGTATGAACCTCCCAGACAAATCAGGTCTTCTAGTTCAAGCCTACTCTGTCCACACAGAACTACTGTAGAACTATAGCTCCGAGCTTCCAAAGGAATTAGTAACAGCTGAATAGCAAGTTACATTTGTAATACTTAATTCAAAGTAGTTGATAGATTGTAATATTTCTGAAGTGCAGAAACCTTGATAAGACATTGTAAGCAAGATTTAAATCATACAAACATCAAACAAATTGATAAAGATAGCAATATTATTCCATTATTTTCAGCAGACACCCAAACCTATTTAAAATGTCTCATTTGTGGTGCCAGCTATGTTTTTTTTAACAACAAACGTACCATTTTCTGCTTCTCTCACTCACCTCAGTGAAACCAATTACAGTTATCAGCTGTGCAAATCTAATTTCACTTCAGATGACTCATCCAGTAGCAAGGTGCTTCCTGTTTTGGCACTTGACTTTCTCGGCTTTCCTGATCTAATGAAGTTGCATGACGGTGGGAATGGAAAAGGAAGCAGGGCCTTCATAAAGTCATTATTGGATTGAGAAAGGTTGCTATTACATTTCTGAATAGCTCAAGAGAAATAGAGCAAATATAGCTGGAAAAAGATCCAAAGGCTGATTGGATGAGCGTCTCTTCCTGTCTCAGATTTTAGACATTTACTGTTAGTGTCTTTTGGGGTTTCTTATGGTTATTTGATCTAAAGTCGTTACCACCTTGAGTTATATCTATGTAGTGTTGGCTAAAAATGCGTAGAGTGTAAAAATCTAAATTATTTACCTCTGAAGTGAAAATATTTATTATCAGAAATAATAAAACTTTTAACAACAAAGCCATAACTTGACATTAACCTGGGTCATTGTCTGCTGGCAATATGAATGATGTTTATTACTCAACAATCTGTTTCTTTCTAAGCCAATCTCACTTATCTTACCTGACTGGATCTGCGGGGTGTAGCCATTGATTGCTTTTCCTCTAAGAAACAATACATTGTTTTCAGAATTTGATTGATGCACCTGGATGATCTCGCTCAGCTTTTGCTGCAGGGTTGAAAAGTCCTGGGAAGTCTTTTCAATCTGTTGAAGAGATTAGAAAAGACATGACTAGAAAAGGAGCAAAGTTTCATCCTGTAAGCAAACTGAGCTGTTGAAAGAAAATATGTTATTAGTATTTTTGTAGTTGTGATGAGAATTTTAAATACACTTATCATTGACCTTAAGTGTCACATTCATTTAGGGACTAAAAAACCCCAAGCCTATTATTAACTGGAAAACTGGAAGAAAACCAGTGTCTCTAGTTCCGTTTCAATTACAGATGTTTGGAAAACTATGTTGATATTCTTTCAATGCAGAATATTTCATCTTTACACAAGGCAGTAAGGTCCAGTTGCAGTGACATGAAGAAATGGTTTCTGCTAAATATATTTTTGATGCAACTGAAAAGTCAGCTCATCAAAGCATATTAACTTTTCATTAAAAAAAACTTAAGTTTTTTCAAAATTGCAGCGTTTACATTTAGCAAATTTATTTTAATTTGTTTAATTACAATTTGCACAGTTTGATGGTTAATGGAAACCCAGCTGCTGTCTACATTAAAGCCAGCTTTACGTCTTCATGGACTGAGAGGGGGCAGCCAAGAGACCAGTTTGTGGAACAAGGGCCAAACCATCACGCTGGAAGAAAATTTTGAAGTATGCTCAGTTCCTCATGGACTGACAGGGCAGCGACTAAGATAGAAATCTTTGGTCCAAACTGACCACCTGCAGCTTGCCACATGGAAAACATTAATACTTTAAAGAAAACATATTATGATCTTCAGAAAAAAAACAACTGAGTTGTTGAGTAAGATTAAAAAGAAAATATTTAAACATTTTAAACTCTTGTATCTATCTATAGTCTTGTGTTCATTCATTTATGAGACTTTATGCAATAGCAAAACATTTAAATTCAGTGAAATAGCCTGCTTGCTGTTTGACTAAGCTTTGTCCTCACAATGACAATTTAGAGCAGCAGATAAAGACCAGATCAATCTTTCCATCCTAAACTCTGACCTTCCATCACTTCAGAACATGATCCCAAGATAAACAAACTCTTCTGCTTAAAATAGAGATGTATTCCCCACTAGCATCAATTTACCTCTATGCATTTAAGAGGTATAGCATTTTTTAGAACTGAGTCTGCAAGATGCTCAAGGGGAAGTTGAAGGCGGCACAGAAATGCCAAAATAAACACATTATCAGCAAAAAAAGCAAGGCCATGACTTACCAAAGCCATACTCTACTCTGTCTATATCTACAGGTTAAGAACATGTTCATGACTCCTACAAACTGGATCTGTGTAGGAAACCAGCCAACTACAACTAACTCTACCAGTTATAAGCGATGGTGAAATATTCAAGCACAATTGTGCAAGCAATGTATTGACAGGTACAAAAAGTGTTTGGTTAATAGGCAACTTGGTAAAAGATTTTCAATCAAATTTCATCATGTTCCTAACTGGCACTGTACCTCTTTGGAGAAGCTCTCTAGCTGCTCGGCTTCACTCCTGGCTGCCTCCTTGTTGGCCTTAAGGTTCTTCCTGTCCTTGTACCCTCTGAAGTTGCTCTGGATCTTCACAGCAGCGTGCTCTTCCTCCTGTCTTTCTTTTTCAAGGTCTCCCTCCTCTTTGCGTTCAATAACCACATCTGTAACATCCAGTGCTTCATCCCTTTCTTTGGTATTCTGCGCCGTATTGTCAGGACTGGCACTTCCTTCGCTGACTTTCTGCTGCGCTTCTTTTTCAGCTTTCAGCTTCTTACGGTCCCGATGACCTCTGAAATTACTCTGTAGGACCGTTGCTGCTTTTTCCTCATCTGGTCCCTCTGGACTTGCAGGTAAAATGCCCTCTTGGTTGTCAGGAAGGGATTCCTCTATCTTTGCACCATTCTCCTCCTTTTTTGATTCCCTCTTGTTTTTCTTGGGAATTTTTCCTTCCTCCTCGAGTCGTTTTCTCTCCTTATGACCACGGAAGTTACTTTGAATCACTACAGCTGCCTTAGTCTCCTCTGGGTCATCAAGCTTGGCATCAGTGGAAGAAACATCTGCTCCAAGTAGAGCCTCCGTTGGTTCTGCCTGCTCCTCTTTCTGGCTGCTTCCTATCTGTTTCTTAGCTGGGACCTTCCCTTCTTGCTGTAATCTCTTCCTCTCTTTATGGCCTCTAAAATTACTTTGGATAACAGTGGCTGCTTTGGTTTCCTCCTCTAGATTGACAGCTTCCTCTCCTGGAGCCTTTTCCTGTCCATCTACATTTCCAGTGTCTGCGTCCTGAATTACAGCTTCATCTATAACTTCTGTGTTCTCCTCATCTTCTGGTACCTGAGTGTTATCACTATCATCGTTTTCCTCAGCCTCATAGGTGCTCTCATCCTCTTCTTCATTGCTCTCCCCCTGATTATTAGCTGTGTTCTCCTCTTTGCCTTTGGCAGTGGTTGCCTCAGGTTCCAGTTGCAGATCCACAGCCTCATTTGGTATCTCCAACTCGTTGCCAGCCAGCGTCTTTTTCCTCTCTTTGAACTTTTTTCTCTCTTTGTAGCCTCGGTAGTTACTCTGAAGAACCACTGCTGCTTTTGCTTCTTCCTCCTCATTGTTGTCCTTATTAGAGCCTGTTTCATCAGCAGTTTCTTTTGTGAGATCTGGCACCTGTCCCTGCTCTTCTTTAAGAGCCTCCTCTGCTCGCTCCTTCTCTTTGGCTTCCCTGCAAACAAAATCATGTCTTTGTCAGAAAGCATGAACAAGATTTCATTTGTTTATGTTACAACATCTTGAAAAGGCTTATTCAACAATTCAGTCTGTCCATATTTTGGATTACAGACCAAAAACTGTGGTTATTTTGTCTCAGAAAACCATTTTGACCTGTTATATACATATGAAGAGGACGTTTTTCTTCACATCTAAGAATATAGATACTGTGGTATAGATTTGTATTTTGCCTTCTCTGAGTTTGAGCTTTGAGCAGCTTTTCTGTGCCACAACATAAAGCTGACTTCACCATTGCTAATGTGGGGATGTGTTTATGGTGTTATCGATCACATGTTGAAGTTGTTCCCAATGTGAATTGCGGCCGGTTGCATAGGTGACATTGTGTGTCTTTCTTCACCAATGTAACATTCTAGATTTATTTAGGAAAATTACAGATTCTTAGAGTGAGTGGTCGTCTAATGGCTGTGTGGTAAAAAAGATTTTCCTGCCTCAGCTTTGGATCTTTGCTACTTCTCCAGATCTACTACTGACCTCTTGGCTTCTACTCTCATCAATCCCATTATAATGACCATGTACTGTAGGTTTGAGGTTGCACCGTTTTCTTTCCATGTTTAGATAGTTGGTTAAACAGAGCTGTGTAAAATATCCAAATCTGGGGATATTTTTTAATAACCATGGTTTAAACTTCTCCATATCCTATATTCTGACCAGTCTGCTCCGTTACTTGGTCTTCATGATGCCGTTTGTTCCCTTAGTTTGTTAATAAACATCTTAAATCTTTACAGGATGGCAACTGGATTTATACTATTAGATTGAACACTGATGGACTACTTACTTATATGTTAGCTTAAATGTTTATATTTGTAATTTTTTTATTTAAGTTAACATTTTTGTAATTTTTTTATTTAATTTAACATTTTTGTAATTTTTTTATTTAATTTAGCATTTTTGTAGAGGAGACTGAGCTCAATAGCATGCCTCATTTGAGATATTCACTGATGTAAAAAATCTGCTTCACAAGATTTTCAGCAAATCTTTATGTTGATCCATCACATAATTCCCAAAAATGATAAGATTTTGGTTTTAATGAAATGAAACAAAAAGAAGATGAGCAGGTATGAATCTTTGCGAGGGAATAATGTAATTTAAATTTCTTCTTCTACCGTTTTCGTTGGAAGCTTTTCCGCTCCTTGTGCCCCCTGTAGCGAGCCTGGATCTTGGTTGCTGCCTTGTTCTTCTCATCTACCAACTCCTTGTATGACTTTCTTGCAAGAAATCCCTTGCAAACTGAAGCAAGCAATTGACTGGTTTAGACAAATCAAATTTACATGAACAAAAACCATATTTTTTGCCTCCATGAGTTACTTACCAGCCTGAAATTGGATTATAAAGGCTTCAAACTTTGCTTTGCTTTTATCGTCCGCTACCTTCTTCCGGACTTTTTGACCTCTGTAAGCTGCAGATGAAAGCATGGATCAGTGTAAATTATAAAAGTGGACCATGTTTTGAGTACAGGACCTTAGTGAAGACTTAACGGACCTGACTGGAGCACTAGAGCACTATGTTCTCGCTCTTTGAGCAGCCTCTGGTAGCGTTTGGCTCCCAGCCAGCCTCGGACAGAAGCCTGAAGAAGGATGATCCTTTGTGTTGCCTGCTGCACCATCAGATTCAGATGTTCGACGTGGTAGTATTTCAAGAACACCTTTGAAGCCCAACAAAAATTACTTAGACATGGTTCAACAGTTGGAGAAAAGACGAACGGTTAAGCTTTATTATTATTAACATTTGAGCAGGGATTCTGCTTTGATTTTTAAGTTGGGATCATCCAGATTGCAGTTTTTTTCCACTGAAATTGTTGATAATAGCCCTATATTTTCAAAAAACGTCCATTTAATTAGTTCATTCTAGGGGTGGGTAGTAACTAGTAACATTAAATTTTACATTAACTAAAATTATGAAAACAAATAGGAATAGTGTTACTTCTTGTGAAGTATCACTACTCCAACTTTGAGCAATTTGTAGATCAGATTGTTATAAAATAAACAGCAATGTTTTATCCTGTCAATGTATATATACATTTCTTCCTGTACAGATTTATTGTTAGTTTGTGTTAGTTTTATATTGAAAATATATGGATTTAGAAAAGTGTTTCCTCTGCGTATTTTTTACTATTTTGTACCTTGCACATAAAATCTGTTTCTCTACATAATTCTAAACATTATGAGCCAATATTATGCTGCTATCACCCAATATTATTCAATAATTAAGTAGCCTTTTCAACAAATACTTTCTTTACTTTTACTTAAGTAATTCCTTGGATAAGGATACTTTTTACTTTTACTTGAGTAAAAAAAAAAGAATTTGAAGTAGTGCTACTCTTACTTGTGTACAGTTTTTGGCTCCTCCAACCATCCGCATTAACTTTGCAAATTGCCAGTCAAATGCTAAATGAAGGTCTGTTCCGCCAAACTATATTCTTTCTGTTTCAAGAAAATCTAGTTGATACATTTAAATAAAATATGATTATAATATATTTAATTTCTATAAATCTAAAACATCAGTCAAAGAGAATCTATCCCAATCACTGATAATTATTACTGATCAGCTGTTTTGGTTTTAGATGTGATGCATGTTAGTTTATATCCTAAATATATAATCTCTTCAGAGCTTATTTTTGTGCACCTTAGTTTTCCCCATTGCCCAATTTTCCAGTTTGGCCTTCTCCAGTATTGCAGCGCACGTCTCTGGAGTCGCAGCCGGCTCCTCGTGAGCATGAAAGGCCAAGATGTAGTACCTGCAGGATTCAATGCATTTGTTTATTTGTGAGTATAAAAAGTGTAAATATTCAGCTGAGCTTCTACGGTTCTTTAGTGGTAGTCTGACCTCTTAATGAAATTAGCAAACAAGATGCGGTGAGAGTAGCCCTGTCGTCTGATTTTGGCAGTTTCCAGGACGCCAGTGTATCGCAGCTGGACCAGAACCTTCTCCCGGTCGAACTTGTTTGCCTGGCGATCGTTGTTCGGTTTGATGCAGCGGGCAAAGTGAGGCTGCCCCGCCACCATCTTGGATAGGAGGTCCATCAGAGAGTACTGTGACAACATGACAGAGTTTAATGAGAAAAATCAAGAAAGCGAAAGAATCTCAGAAAGAGTTAGGAACATATCACTTTTATCTACATTAAGCAGGTTGGTTCAACTTAAAACATAAAATACAAACTAAAAATGCCAAAGTTACCATATTTTAAAGAACTTATTCAGAGTTTAAATGTCACATCAGGGATCTTGCCAAAGAACAAAATTTTACAACCAAAAGTTAGAAATATAATAAGTGTTTCCATATATTTCTACCAGATGGTACACTAAATATAACAGACACTATACCTCTTAAGTCCATCCGGCTTATTTGGTTCTATATAGAACTATTTAAGCTGAGCTTTTTTTTTTTTTTTTTTTCACCTCTATTTTGCTTTATTTGGGGCTTTTTTAAGTGGTGGTATTTTTAAAAGAACGTTCAGTCAAACACAAACAAAGGGTTAATTTCAAACCACTATCATGCATTCATTTGCACGGCAGAATGGATGCTCTAGCACAAATCATCTGAGGCTGCAATAAATTGATTTGTAAAATTAATTTGTTTTAACTTCATATAAACTGCATCTATAGTTCTGATCTAAATAAAAAAAAAACTTTATGATTAAAGGTACACTGTAGATGGTTTGACTGCAGTGGAAAATATTGATGGCGAAATTTTGATTACTTCACTGAAAACAAACAACAGCTTAAAGCTGGAGTAATTTCTTACTCTGAAGTACGAGGCCACAGTTTGTGTCTTCATGTTGGTTGTTTCCCTTGGGTGGTAGGTGGCATCAGAAGGCTCTGATTTCTGAAAAACAAATGCGGCGAAAAAATTAGCAAATTGTATGTTGTAGAAGATTTCCTGCTGTGTTTTCCAGGAGAAAACCTTTAGCACACTGAGCAAAAAAAGCTGCATAACCTCCCCTTTCATCAGGTTCCTCAGTTTGACACCTGTGCTTCCTTTGATTTGACTTGGCTCTGGATAGATGTCGGTAACAGTGTACCTTTTTCCCCATCCAAGACAATTTGCAAGTGGTAAAGATGCAGTCACAAAGCTTTTTCAATCTGTTGTTCTCTATATGGCATTTTACTGCTTCTGCATTCTTTGCAACCACTGTTCTCCACTTACATTGCTCCCACTGATGAGTGAAATAACTTAAAATGAATTAATCATAATCTCAAGTAGTTTAGATTATAAGAATTTTAGAAAATTCCACCCTCAGTTTGAGGGGGGTTAGAACATTTACAGCACTGTGCTTGTTTGCAGCTGCATCTCAAGCAGTTGTTTTTAGGAATGCGAAAAAAGAATACTTCTCTGTTCTTCCACCACACATGGAGACATGTAGACTTTAACAGCAAACAGAATAAGCTACAGATGAGACAAAGACTAAGCAAGGAAGGAATATGAAGAAAAGATCATCCTGCTTATAAGCAAGCATGAACTCTTCAACAATCTGGGCTTTTTTTTCCCTCAAAGCCACTTCTGATCAAGTCTCATACAAAATTGACTTCAATTCCAAGTGCCATATTGGCAAACAGGACATGTTGAATATATGAATAAATAAAAAACATCTAACAAAAATGAATACAAAAAACAAAAAGTGTGACAGTTTTTATAAAAATCTAAAGGCCTCTCAAATGATCGAGTAGTCACTGGATTATTTGGTAGGATAAGGATCCCTGACATGTTGATGGCATCAACTGTATCTTTTGTCTCTTTGGAAAATCACCAATCACCTTTAGAACTTGCACTGTGTCTTGAAGAGGCACATCGAGCAAGCAATGTTTTTCTGGAGTGTGCTTTAATATCCAAGAAGGCTGCAAAAGAGATACAAATGGACAAGTGCTAAAATGAAGAGCACCCACTAACTGAACACAACTGGTTTACATCTAATACTAATAAAGTGGATACCATTATACATGTATTCCAAACTCAAACAAAACAAAAAAATCACAAAACCATTACAATTAACAAAAGCACACAGTGAATAGCTAGAGATTTTTGACAACTAACGGGAAGGATGTGATAATAAATCTACATCTAGATGCTAGCAGAAATGGGTAATCATTACTGAGCAAACCATCAGCCTGATACAGTTTGTGCTTTTTAAACTGTTCATTGTTGCCTCTTAAGAGGCGAGCTTTTGATGAGCTTTTCAGGCTCTAAGATATGCAAATGAATGGAAATGAATTCAAGACCTCGTCAAACGCAGTGCATCTAGCTTGTGTCAATTGCTTTGAGGTTAGCAAATCGCCTTGAGGCTTACATTTAGCAGACAGTGCAGCCGTGTACGAATGCAATCTAAAGCAAATCACACAAGTAAATACCATAATTAAGTTGCCTGGAGGGGTTTTATTTGGAAGATGCTAAACAACAGAAATGGTTATTGAATGCTTAGACTGAAAAATTGACATTTTAAATATTGTAAAGTAGATTTTTTGAACTTTGAAGCTTGTTTACCAAAACTACGATGGATTGCAAATGTATTCGCACTCCCTCAAATTTTCCAGATTTCAATTTCAGCTAAGATAAATTTTGCTCTGGCGCAATCGTGCACTGGTCCACTCACCAGTGCATGGAGAAATGATGTAACAAAAAACTTTGCAGAATGAAATACAGAGAATAAATAGGTCAAAATCATTAAAATAGCCCTGTGTATTGCATGTGGTTTGCTCCAAAAAATCTGGATAAAGATTAGAGTGACTGTTGTGTTTTAAAACCTGTTACTGAGAGCAAGTTTGTGATCCCTGTGCACTAGTTCAAACACAAGGTTGTTCTGGGTGAGTTGAGCCCCCCATAATACTGAGTGCTCCCTTGAGACAGAATGTTCTATAGAGGTCCTTCAGGGAGGGAGGAGAAACTATGTTGTCTTTGTACAGATGTTCTGTAAATCCGCAAACTTTAAATAGAGCAGCAGTAGAAGACGTTCAGCAGTAGGCTCGGGTTGAGCCTTATGGAAACCATCAAAATTGGAGATGATGTTGAGCCTGATGGATGAAAGAGCACCAATGGAGGTCTGAATCCATGTCCACAGGTGTCAAATACAGGCCTTATTCACACGAGGCAGAGTTTGGGTGTATCTCACAAAATTCTTTGTCAAATAGAGGATCTTGTCCAGACGAAGTGGCGGCAAAGCAGACAATACCTGAAAACTGTTGCTCAAGATGTGCCCAACCATGGTGGCATCATCAGCAAACTTGAGGATTGTGGTGTTACTTTGGCTACTGATATATTTATAGGCTCACACAGTTTACATTAGGGGACCAAGTACACAATCCTGTGGTGTTACAGTATCATACTGCAACCAAAAATTTTAGATATTAAATTTATACATTTTTTAAAGAGCAGCATAGAGTAGCTCAATTACGTGACATGGAAACAAATGATGCATTATTTTCAAATGCTTTTTATGAACAGACATCTGAAAATTGTGGAATGTAAATTAACTTTAGTCTAACTCAACACCGTGTTTAACCAGTGTTCTGTTGCTTTGCACGTCTAAATAAAAAGGTTCAACTATTTTGTTTTTGTAATGCAGCTAAAGCTGATGTAGAATACATGAACTGTGTCTGTGAACTTTGAATGTCAATTGCTGTCACAAATCCTTATTTAGATAATCAGTTCCCAAATGTTTCAGCCTGTGACCCCCCCCCAAAAAAAGGCCAAAAAGAATCAAGAACCTGTACAGAGAGTGTACAAACTAAACAAAATTCTCCAAAAGTCATAACCGTGACAATAATAAGATATAAAATGTTACATATAAGACCAAAAAAGCAGTAAAACATTTTTTTTAAATTAAACGGTAAATTGCATTTAATTCTGAGCATTAAATGCAATATGACACATTTTTTACCTCTGTATTACCATAAGAGTATCCTTTTATCAGGATATTCATGTCTAATTATTTTATAACATATCTTTTGTCCCTTTTGTCTCTCCATACCATTAAGCGGTCAAATCATGATGAAAATAAGCTTATAGCTCAGTCTTTGGTGTTTTGTGAACCTCTTTTTTGTGAACTGATCTAAATACACATCTGGACGTTGACTGGACCCTCAATACCAGGGGTCTTCCACGTTTTCCAGGCCCCAAACTGATGGCGAGATGGAGCAGGGACCCCCTAATTATATATATTGAATGAAATTGTGTTATATCAAACTGGTCCAATAGTCACTCTATTACAGATGGAGTCATGTAATGAAAGTAATTTCTCCCTGAGATTATTAAAGTATTTCTGATTCTGATTCCTCATTGATGGGACAGGTGTTGTGAATGAAACAGCGCCAAGCTTGAAAGAGCTCCTGTGTGTAAATGAATGTGTGAATTGATGACTGAAATACATCTTCTGCCTCCATTTATCTGTTTCCTACAGTGTGTTGAATTCATGTTAATGTGTATTTAAAGACATTTCAATTAGTGGAAAAAATTGGAGGGGGGAATATATACTGTATATATAAAAAAGCCTAATAAACCAAAACTTTCGCAACCCCCATGCAGTACCTCCATGGACCCCCTAAAGGTCGCGAACCCCCTGTTGAAGACCTCCACTCTTTACTATTCCTTTATACTAACTGTCTTTAGGGGGATTTCCTGCCAAAAGGGAAACCTCCATTCTAGTCCCAGCTCTTTTGCAGCCTCTAAAAGGTTTTCTTCCTGAAATATCTTGTATCTGACTCCATCCATCTGCCTAAAAGCTATCATCAACCTCCTACTGTTTCAAAATTAGTCTTTTTTGATGGTGGTTTTAAAGTTTTAGTTCTTCTAAACATTGTCCAAAATATCCTGTTATTGGAACACCCTCTTTCCCATCACATGTTCGCTGTGACCCTAGATGCCTTCTGATACATTGTAGTGTCCACTCTTTTGATAGGGCGATAACAATATCAATATGCTGGCTTCTCGGCTCAATGGCCAGGACATGGTAAGTTGTCACACACTCTTTCCATTATCCAGTTATGACTGTCAAAAATTGGGATATTCTTTTATAGTTTAACAAGCTTTAAATTCTTTCACTGCTTTCTTCCCAACCTTGTTTTCTATGTTGCTTGGTCTTCACAAAGGCAATTAATTTATTCTCAGTTAAAAAAAATGCAAAAATGAATTGCATTTACTAATAAGGGGAGTTCATGCCAGACTTTTGAAAATTGAGGAAAGAAACATTTTCTGTTCTTCCCCCTCAGAATCAGGCATGACATTGTGTTTCTACATCAACTGAAATCCAATTACTTTGATTTAAATTGGTGGCTGTAGAGGGTATGAATACTTAATCTTAATGCAGTGTAGTTGTTAGCCTGAGGCATGGTGCTTTTAATGCAAATCTATCTCAAAGAGAGATCCAGACACCAGATATTAGCTAAAAAAAATGTCATATCAGGAAGAAGGAAATGACGCTTCAAAGCAACAATTACAGGAGCAGCAGGTATGACTATGCTCAAGTGTATCGGTTCTAAGGAAGCGCTAATAGACCTAAAAGGGAAATCTGGATGTGTTGGTTAGTTTTGGAGATCTCTAAAAGGAGGAAAGATTCCTGCAAAGAAGGATATCCATAAAAAGTTATGTTGATTACCTCACTAATAGAAAAAGAGCTGTATAATGTAAGCATCCCCATCTTGAATGAAGGAAGAGCAAAGACAGAGAAAAAGATGGAAGAAAAAGGAGAAGGAAATTAATAAACCAAGCATGAAGCGACAGGAGAAGAAACAGATACTTCTGCACAAACCCATCAGTATCAACCATTAGTTTAGATCATTTATTGATTGTCATAGAGGAATAAAGATAAAATAAACCTAAAAAATGTATGTTTTAGTAAAAAGTTCAAAGAGATGATGCAGCAAAAACATTTCAGATAATGTTGTACCTTGGCCAAGGTGATGGTCCGTGTAGGTGTCCGCGGGCCTCGCATTGTGTTTGTGCCTTTACCCTTAGTGTGGGCAAGGTTACCTGCAAAATAAACAGTGGATAAAGGAGGAGTGCATTAAATTACAGTTTCCCTAGAGAAATTACCCTCAATACCGTCCTCAGAGAGGGTTTAGTTTAAATGCACATATTTACTTTTTACAGCACCTATTCACTGAAAGTAAACTTTTATAAGACATTTTAGAAAATTTTTAATTAGGATAATCAGAAATTTGTTGTGTTTTTGTTTTTGTCAGCCACACCAAAAGCAACCCATGCTGCCAAGCTTAGGAGAACCAGTTTGAAATTATAACAACCTATTTTTATGTGTAAACATTTGACTCAAGCCACTTAATAATTCAATAGTTGGCCTAATACCTGTGAGTTTGTCTTAATGATTTAAGTGGGTTTCATCATCTAGATTGATATTCTCCGGTAGTAGAAGAGCGACTATTTTTGCTGCTCCCTGCCTGCCCATGTCCCACGTCTCAAATAAGGTCTCAAGAACAGCTGCAGAAAAATTAAGTACAGTCCTGTCTTTAAGTTTTATTATTCTGAATGCAAAATAAAAACATTTAGGAGGAATTTCAATCTTTACACTCTTACTTGTGACTGCAAAGAAATATGTCATGAAAGAGATAATCAAGTCTTATGCCATGACCTGTCAATTCTTGATTTTCATTTACTGCAGGATTTCGGTTAAGTGGCTTTATAGGCCACAATTAAAGAAAAAAAATGTTTCAAAAACCCTAAATGTTCTAACTCAATATACTTGCTTCCTATAAAAAGATACTGCAGGCGACCAAGCTGCAAGTTTTGAGGCCAGAGCCATTTGCCTTCACATTGCGTCACAGATGGTAAACAGTCCACGGAGCTGCTTCTTAAAAAAAAAAAAATAACATGGTGGTTATATATTTCTTTACTTCGTAAGTGACTGTTTTATAAAGAGAATTATGGGTAATATCCCTTCCATGTAAAAACAGAGACGACTCATTCTCATTTCTGCCTTGCTTTAAAGCACAGTGCAAAGCTTTGACATTTTGTCAGCTGAAGAAAGACGGAGCAAATAAATGGATAGATGGATTTTCTTTTATCATACTTATCAGAAATAAAGAAAAACAATCTTAAACCAGTGGGAATTATTGTAGTAAAGCATGAACAATAAGCAGGGTGGTCTATGAGTCAGCACTCATTCTTAAGGACAAACAACAACCCTCAAATAAATGTAAATGATTGTGTAATTTTCTATATCTCTGACTTCATCACTGCTACTGAGCTACAATTTAAACAGACTTTTTACCATTTTGGAAAACAAATTGTATTATATAGTATTAAAAAAGTTTGATTTATGTTATATCCCTAAAGAACAATTGTTGCGATGCATCTTTCAGTCTCATGAAATGTTTCTTCGTGTTAGAGACGCTCTAAGGCTGTTATTATGACGACAAAGAAACTATTACTGGATTCTTAAACTTCCTGCAGAGTTCCCAGATAAATCTTTTATCTTACAACCAATAGTTGTTAGGTAGTTTTTATCTAGTTTCCATAATGCTGCTGTTAGTTTTACCCGTTATGGTGAGAGGATGAGTGACCAGTTTGCGGATCAACTCGTTTTCCGATGACCTCAGGAGAAGGATAATGTCAGCTGGGAGCGTCTCTCTGTTCTTGGCCAAGAAGCCAGATGCGTTGTAAATGACCTTAAAGTTCACAAGGTAGAAAAAAAATATTTTTTAAGACAGGAAGGTATCAACTACAAAAAACAAAACTTTACAAAAGGCATTTTTAAGGTAACAAAGGAAGACTTACCTTCCCCGCATAGTGATGAATACCAAAGCCAAGATCAACCCTTTTAGGTCTCCAGAAGCTTTTTGTTTTCAGATTATCTTCAAATTTCTCTAAAATACAAAAAAGTAAAACATTCAACCAATTACATAACTATACCATGTTCTACAATTTTTGCTCTTTATTTGGGTGTAACTTACAAAAAAGTAATTTTTTTTTCAGAATATGAATTATTTTGTTTATAGAACCTCCATAAATGTAACACTTTAATAAATTAAGACTGTAAATAAATATATTTTTTTAAACAAATAAAAAAATAATTGCATGTAAAGTATTTGAATCTACACTAGACAGGAGCAAGGCCACACTCCTCCTGATGGACTCACCTACGAGTGTTTGGTCGGTGGCCTGTGGGAAGCGGCTCTCCTCATCCAGCAGGGACAGCAGCCCCATCGGCTTCTGCAGGAACAGGTCCAGGAGAGGCCGGTTGTCTTCATACTCAATCATCCGAGCATCAACCTCTTCATTCAGGTACTCATCCTGATCAGGAGGGGAAATCATTTAATTTAGGACTTCTTCTTTTTTAACTTTGTTTATTGTGTAAACTTAAATCACCTCACTATTTCAGTTTTTTTAGGTTTTAGTTTATCTCTCTTTTTTTAATTTAAGCTCATTTCACGTATGTCAAGTATAGCCTAATAACCTGTAATTACCCTGTAAGGAAGTGCTGTAGGCCTCATAAATATCCTGCCCCAGTTGTTATTGGAAAAAGTATATTTTTCCCAGTCTGAACATATAGATGTAAAGTAATGTGTCCGTGCTTTAAAAAGTAACAGAAAAATGCTTAGGAGTGATCGAAATGGTAAGACTGTGGAAAGTTCCTCATTGGTTTGGAGTTAGTACCCTTTAAAAAGCATGATAAATACATGCATGAAATTACCCTGTAAATATGAATGTAGTTGTAGTAGAGGTAATCATAAGAAATTGTAAGTAATAAAAAATACCCTGTAAGCAAACTTTGGATAGCAAACAAGCCTCAGAAAAGTAACCTAAAAGCAACTTTAGCATCAGTTAGTACCTTCCAGGACTCTACAGGGAGCAGTTACTTGTAAGGACCTTATAAGTTTAAGTAAAGTATCCCTTAAGACTAGGCGGTGAGAAAATATCTTTATAGTAACTCACAAGGAGCTTGTGAGCTACAGTACAATCTCATTAGGAAACTGTAAGCTGCAGTTAAGTACTCATTTAGTTCCCTTTAAGAGACCTGTGGGTGCTTCATTGTGCTAGACTGAGCAGGAAGGACTCAAACGACAACTCACAGTTTCCAAAAAAAAAAAGGTTGTTTAATGACAGTCGAAAGGTCGGAACACGGAGAATCAATCAAGAGGGCAGAGGTAACCAAAAGCACAGGGCTGAGGCAACGTCTAAGCACAAAAGGTTCAAAGATCACTACGAGCTAGAAAGGTGGAAAAAGGGTTGGAAAGCTTGCTGGAAGAAACAAAGATGAACTGGCATGGAGAGAGGGGAACAAACTGCCTAACTACACAGGAGGAGATGATTGAGGGCAGGTGTGTGCAATCAGGGTGGCTGGAGAAGTGCAGGCAGCAGAGGTGGGGCAAAACAAAGCTGCCACAGCACATTAAGAGACGCAATACCTGCTCTAGTCATGAAAACATGCAGTTATGTTAAGAAAAATGTACTTAGATTTCATTTGCTTGTGGTGTAAGTAGCAATAGGATCCTATAAGTAACCAGCTAACACCAAAAAATAACCCCAAAGAATTGTATAATGCTTAAGATGAGTAAAGTGACCTATAAATGCACTGAGTAGCCAGAAAATCACATCAGTAACCTCTAAAAACCAGCACCTCAAAAATAGCAACAGATTTTCATATAGAACCTGTCAATATAAAAAAGTGGCTCATAAGTAGCATCTAAGCATATCTGGAATACCCTAAAAAACGACAAGGAACTCCATAAATATGCAGTATGCATCAGTAAGGTGCAACTATCAGTAGCAATGCAATTGTATAATAAACCTGCAGGAAGCAGTACAGTAACCCCTGAGCACATTTATCTATAGCAACCCCTGGATTTCCTTGAAGGACACAACAATGTTGTTTGAGGACCGAAAACAGCAAGAATGTATTTTGTAAAAACCTGTATGTAGCATGTGTGTAACTATAAGCTCTGTTAGTAAAAATCCTTGTTCCATAATTAGGGCGAAACATTACACAATTGCATCTGGCTTTAATTATGTTAAACTATTCAAAGATTTCATTTCAAAGGAGATCGCTTGAACTTAACTCTTCCATGCCAGTGATCGGTTGCCAGGGCCTAAAATGCTACTGTAATCCTAAACCTTTCTTTAGGATTAGCAAACATTAACCCGTCAATAAGGAAAGTGGCAACTTCAACCCGTAGCTTCAGATTCCTTTTACTTCCTTAAGTCAGCAGCACCGCTCTAAGGTTGGTTCATGTTCATCCTTCTTTTGTTTACTTTTTGTTTTTTCTGACTAAATCTACCAGTAAAAAACCATTTCTCAGCTCTATCATGTGAATTTCGCTACTATTCCTATTTTTGTGGACTCATTTTATGTCAACATGAAAGGCATCATAACCAGAAATAGATATTTTAATATTTTGGATCCGTCAAGATCTACAAAACTGTTATTTATATTTATATGATATATCTTTTCTTTTTTTCAATAAAATCGACTCTAGATGTTCTGCTAACGTATTATTTTGAAAAATTAGGCATTTTAATTGAAAAGTTGTAGATACGACCTAACTAAATAAAACTTGATTCTGTATTATTTTCCTATATTTTAATCATGTAAAGCACTTTGCATTGTCTTTGTACTGAATTGTGCTATACAAAAAAATTTGCCTTGCCTCGCCTAACATTTCAGAATTATGAATCTGGTGTTTTATCCAAACTTTTCAGCAAAATTTGATTGGGGCAAAGTGGCCTAAATCTCAGCTACACTCATGGTAAAATACAGTAGCATTACTTTGGACACCTAGGAAATGCTTATTAATCTCAGTACTGAACATTTCACATATGCTCTCAGTGTACATTCAGTCGGCAGAGGACAATGTATTTCTGGGCCTTGTTCCAACAATCCCCAAGAGTGAATTTAAGTCCAACATTAAGTGTCTCCAGCTCCTAATTGACCCTCATTTGGGATGATTTATTGCCCCGCTCTGCGGGAAGGTCCAAATCGTTTAACATTAGCAAACCATTCTGTGACCCCCCTCAAGGCAAACACTCCCATGAGACATCACAAAGGGAGAATTGTGAAGCTCAATCCGCCATAAAGATAGAGAGCAGCAGATTTTAGTGAAAGCTCTTAAAGCTCAGACAGACAAAAGACGTGTTAGTGAGGTTTAGATGGAAATGATTGTGAAAACTGCAGACAGAGTGCTTTTAGTTGGAAGGATCCTCAGCGGTAGTATTTGATCTAACTGATGGGGTGTGTTGTTTAGATGTGACTCTACCTGCTCCCAAGCAAAGATGTGCTGGTTGAAGTAAAACTGGATCTGCTCATTGGCGAGGTTGATGCAGAGCTGCTCAAATGAGTTCTTCTTGAAGTTCTCAAAGCCGAAGATATCCAGAATGCCAATGTTCAGGCCCTTATCATCCTCCCTAGAGTTGAGAAGAACAACAAAGAAGCAGATTCAGCCCAGTTAGAACCATGCCTCCTTGTAAACCAAACGCTGATCAATTCCGTTCTTCTGAATTTAACAAGGAACAAATATATTACGTTTTTTAAACTATTTACAATTGAAAACTTGTCTGAAAAATTCTTCTCACACTTTCTCTTTAAAACGTAAATAAAACTGATTCAACTAAAAAGAATACAGATTTTCTTACAGCTGCTATGATTCTGATTTTACTGTACAAGTTTAAAGTAATCAGATTATTTAAAATATTCATTTTGGGCTTTTAACAATTTATTCTAACTGGTAACTAGTTGTTGTTTTTTTGTAAGGCACACATAAACTACTTTATATCTGCCCACAGAAACTGGTTAGTAAGCTTTATTGAAAAATAACCCATACAAATCTCATTTGTAGCAAAACATAATCCCCCAAAAAGTTATAAGTATTAGTAAAGTACTCAAATAGACAGCAGTAATGCATCCCATAAGTACCAGTTATGAACTTTGTTTTTCTTTTAAGGAAGCAGCTATGTACCCATTGTGACCCTGACAGCAACAAGAAATGATCATTGTAGTATCCTGTAGTGTTTCTGGGTTTTGAATGTATTTTTGTTAACAGTTAGGCAGATTGTTTCAAAAAAAATTTTGTAATATATTAAAATGAAAATGATAAAACTAAGATTTCTATCAATCTCAATACTTTAATGGTTTGTAATACATTTATATAAATCTTAAAGTTTGGGTGAACTATACCTTTGAGTGCATTTTTTTAACATCTATTACTAAACTGCTCAAGAAACATATGCTTTTCATTGGCACATAAAAAACTTTTGGCACAATACTGGCTGAACATTTGAGCACTCTTATTGGTGGATTTGGCAGAGCTAATCTAAATTGTTTTTTTTACAGGTCTTTAAGCATGGTCCATTACTTTTGATAGGTCTGAGGTTTGTGCTTTTTGAAGTTCATTCAATAGCATTTTGAAGCTTCCCAAAACTAGTTCAGACCATTACTTGGAGTCAATTTCCTGTTGCAATGCTCAGCTGTATCCAAGTTCCACTCTCCTTACTCTCAGTATTAGCATTTGGGATGTCTGTAAGCAGTCCTGGAGCCACCGAGTCAACTATACGCACATATATGATGGAATATTTCCTTTAACACTATTAATTTGGAGTAGTCACTTATCATAAAATATTAGATTTTTCTTTCACCTCAGAAGAAAGATATTTGTATGTAGTATTTGGATGCTGTATCACACCACTTCTGCACATTAGGAACTCTGAACATAGTCTGAGGCAACTGCAGCTGGATAATGCATTTTACCTACTTCGACATTAGCCAAAATAATAGACAGTGGATACCACTGTGCAGCTTACAGTAGATGCTACATCTTCTCAACTTTGAGCATAAATGATCCCGGTCTGCTTCACATCACCACTTGCTGATCTGAGAAAGTGGGCACTTGTTTACCAGCAGTGGTACAGTAGGTACTTCCAGGATGGTGCAAGTATTCCCTTTCCTACAAAAAACTGTGATGGCCCCTCGTTTTTCCAAAATTGGGAGGGGCTGTTGCTCAGAGAGCAGAACTCATGACGTTAACTCAGAAATGCATGAATTAAGTCAAATACTTTGGGTATAATTGTGATAAAGGAATACCAAATTATGTTATTTACAAATAAAAAAAAGTTTGTTTTGCATGATGCAGCCCTTGTGTCTTTTCTGAACTGGTAATTAATGGAACACTTCATAACATGACTGAGGGGAACAAGAAAAATAACGGCTTCATGGTCAGATGGGACGGACAGCAAGCTGTCTGGTCACAGTAAGAAGAAGACAACTTGTCAGAGTCAATGAGAGGTTTTCTAAACAAAGTGTGCAAACAGTGTGCAAGCTGTCAATAGCGCCAGTGTCAGCTTAACGCTGAGGAACTGTATTTTTTGCCACTGGAACTACTGGAATAGATAATAAAGCAGGACGATCATTATTTTTCTAAACTTCACCTTAAAATACAGAATTGGGTGAACAAAAAAATTGTCACAGACTGGTGTGATATTACACAAATGTAATTGTATTAATGTGTGTCTGTTCAGACAACAGGGTTCAACCATTTTTTTGGTAAGTGTGGGAGTTAAATAAAGCTTCCTGGTTCCAAAGCTAATTTGCTCTTGTTTGAAATAAAGTACCTGACTGTTTTAGCAATGACTTTGATTCCTAATTTTGTTTATGAGCCATGGACTATTTCCTGAAATTCACCAATCCATGTAAGCTTTACCAATTCTGGCGACAAGCGCTGTCATCTATCTCACCAGAACTACTCTTTAGGCTTTTAATGGAAATCAGGGAGCTCTTCTGCAGCATAGTGAGGGACACTGATCTAAATGTTATTAGGGCTGTTTGTTTTTTGTTTGTTTTTAATAACTGAGCTATATCTTCAGGGTAATTAGAAGAACAGATGCATTTTAATCAAAATTTTGCAGTGTTATTTTTGATAAATAAAGAAATTTAACAGAACTAAAAGTTCAAAATAATATATTCATAGATATGACAGCAAATGTATATGCTTATACTTAACCTAATAATTCTAAGGCATATCCAAGGCCCTTATATAAGTAAAATCTTCATGACTCCATTCACGTCAACTAACAACAAGGTGTCCCTTTATAATGACTGCTTCAATGGGCTTCCGGGTTACATATCTACATATCTTTTCTTTGCATAACTCAATATATTAATAAGATAAAAAAACGCACAAAAAAAACAAGGTTCTTTTTTGTGCGTTTCTGCTGCTGGTCTCACCCTGGTTGACTGTCAGGCCGCAGCAGTGTGTTGATCCGGTTCACGATCCAGCTGAAGAGCCGGGCGTAGAGAGCCTTTCCCATTGCGTCCCTCACCTCCATGGCTTTCTCCACCGTGTTGGGCCTGACGATGGTCTCGCCCCGGGCCACAACACAGTGGGATGTCAGGGCTTCCTGGAGCTCGTCTGATCGGATACGTAGTAGGGATGCCACTGGCAGGAAACACAAGATAAGGGATGTTTAAAAGTTTTCAGTTCAAAACTGGGTGAAGCAATGTGCAAATGTGCATGAAAACATTGCTATTAAAAAAATGGATTAAAACATTTTGATATAACCAGCCTAGAACATGTGCTTCTATTTAGAAAAGATTATCTAAACCACGCAGTGCAAATCTAATTATTATAAAATGTGTTTGCAAATAATTTTCAGTAAATTACATGTCTCTGCTGATGTATAATTTATTCCTCAATAATAGTGTGCTATATTTATCCTAACTCCAAATGGAGCTTTGTGTAGAGTTAATGTAGGAAGGAGAAAGAGGGAGAGGGGCAGAAAGCAGAACAAATTTACAATCTCCTCATACATTTAGTGTTCGACTGTATTCTCACCGTTCTCTAGGACAGAAATGTTGGTGATGTTGCTCTTGTCAGTTTGGTGTTCTGAGGCGACAGCAGAAAACTCAATGTCTCCTGAGTTAAGGATGGCAGCCAGAATGCTGTAAACGCTGCCCAGCTCCTGTAGAAATGAAATATAAATAGCTGCTAAAAATTTAACTCTAGGTATTTTTTTTTATATACTACGTTCAAGAAGCCAACCCTTCTGGGGATCCTTTTATTTTAAATGGTTCCTTATAGATATACAGGTTTTCTGTAGTCCTTCAAAGCTTTCTTTGGAAGCTTTGTATTTTTTTTTCTTTTAGCTTTTTGATTTTTTTTTTTATTTGTTCCTCATTTAGCGTATTTATTTGCACAAAAATCAGGATATTTCCCTGAGAAGTGACACAAATTTATTATGAAAACCTAAAACCTCTCTTTCCAAACAGGTACATTCTCAAACAAATGAAAAAGGCAAAAATTGTATTATCAAACAAAACCCGAGGTGAACACAATTTCAAAAACTATAGGCCTGTTTCTCTTGTTCCATAGCTATCCAAGATTTTGGAAAACGCTGACAGAAGAACTTAGCTGATAAACGAAAACTACTGAAAGTCTTTATGGATTTAGATCGCAGAGATTCACATCTTATTACTCCTGTAATTAATAGAAGAAGTCCGTAGCTACACAGATACAAAGAAGTATGAAGTTGGTCTGTTTGTTTATCTAAATAAACATTTGACATATTTTATGACAATATCTCAATCAGGAAACTACAGCAATGTAATGTAGAGATGCTTGTTCTGGAGTGGATGAAGAGCTAATTAAGTAGCAGATTACAGTTTGTGAAACTTAGGTGATTATCAGTCATCATGCTTGGACTTTGCTTGTGGTATCCCCCAGGGGTTAGTGTTAGGATGAATATTATTTATTTTTTCCATAACACACATATTAAAGTTTGCTTATAACACATATATTTTGGGTACAGGTGAGCGCTTACAGCAGCCCTTGGAGGATATCACACCAGAGTAGTATAGGCTAAAAAATCTGGTTTGAAAAAATAAGCTCTCCTTCAACCTGGAAAAGTTCCTGTTATTTGGAAATCATAAAGGAAATTTAGATGTGAAAGTCAAAATAAATGGGCTAGAGTTGAAAAAAGGAAATTAAATAAAATTCTTAAGCCTGAATATTGAATATTTTAAGATTGAATAGAAGCCTCATATTAAAGCTAATGATCTAAAAGCATTCCAAACACATCCTTTAATGTTCACAGATTTCAACACACCTGTGCAACACCTACAATATATTAATCAAACAGCTGTGCATGCTGCATAAAAGAGCCATCAGAATAAATCATAGGGCTGTGCTATCATGACCACACTAATCCATTATTCATCAATCCCTGCTTACTTAAATTCTCTAATCTCACAACTAATGTGTAAAGCCGGAAACAGCAACTGGACAGCATTAGAAACTTTTTGAGACAGAGTGAGGGTAAAATTATAGGGATAATCTACATATATATAGGGAGGGTGTAGCGGTTAAGGGTCGAAACACCCTGTGAAGGTTGGGCACCGTCTAATGACATCAACTCCAGGCCGAAAACCACCCATATATATATATATATATATATATATATATATATATATATATATATATATATATATATATACCGCTACACCCTCCCTATATATGAATTAACAAACTAACTAAAATATCCCGCCCAAAAAATTGAAAGCAGGCAAATAAAACAGTCAGAATGAAAATAACGACCTTGAAAAAACCTTTCAGTTGATATGTAGTTAAATATGTAGTTAAATCCCTGTAGTAGCAAATCACACTGACAGAAGTGATGCACCACTCTGCAGCTCCAGCTCCACAGAGTGCTTATAGGATAAGTGATATTGACGTACAGATCCCAGGAGAGGTCTGGTCTTTGAGGCTCATTAGCCCTCTCAATGACGACACCTTGCTGCCAACATGTGTTTGCTGCTTTATGCTACACAGCAGATAAAAAAGGGAGAATATATTTTTACCTAATTTAACAACCACATTCTACTTTGCAGAGAAATTCTACTTCTAATCGAGATTATTTTCATTTTGTTTGATGATCTTTAATACAACAATTGAGTTTGGGGTCTGGGCCATGAGAGCTGAGATCTATATGTGAGTGGTGCAGGCTTGAGGTGGGGCTTCTCACAGCTCTGTACCCAATATTCACTGCAGCAAATCATACCTCCAGGGTGAATCCTATGACTTTGAAACACTGCTCCACTGCATCAAACTGCTCCTTGTAGAAGGCATTGCTCACAATGTCAGGGCCTAACTTCATGTGTTCAGTATAAAGATACCTGCAGAACAAGGAAAAAACACAAAAGTGAGGGCTGGGCTCTTAAAGAGGGCAAAGTAAACAGTTTTTGAAGTAAAGGAGACATCTTACAAAAATTAAAACCTACTTAGGAGTCTTGCTGTCAGACAGTTTATAGTGGGCAAGCTTCTTCCTGTCAGCCAGACCAGCATAAATGTAGTAGAAAATATGGAAGTTCTTCTCACCCCTTTGAAAAACAGAAAATCATGTAAGAACACTGAATTTGATGTGATTGTTTGGTTTGGTAAGGCACTGATGGATTTAAGGCGAAGTAGTGAATTACAGTGTGAGGACAGGGCTTAACCACCAAATTATAACTGGGATTCACACTAATAATGTGTTGTTATAATGCAATGGGGAAATTATTGCCTGGTCATTATTCAAAATGGTTTATTCAAGTGAAGGAAAAATGAAAGAAAAATTGTGTTAAAGGGAAAAAATGGAAAACACCTGCAGACCTGGTCAAAAATGGCAGCACACCCTTTATGCAAGTTCAGTCCTATTATTCATTATTCTAACAAGATCCCACATATTAATAGGAAAAAAAGTATCTTCTCTTGTCCAAAGCCCTCTTCCTCCATATCTCTTTTGTGACATTTATTTTTAGACTTTTGATTATTCCTAAACCTTTCCTTCGTTGGCATAATTTGTTTTAAGGCTAGGCTTGAAGCTATCCTTTTTGATAAAGCCTATAGTGAGATAAGCTATACAGTAGTTATGCTGCTATAGGCTTAGCTTGCCGGAGGACACAGGGAACACTTTTCACTATATTGCTTCATTCTATCTCTATTCTCCCATTCTGCAAGTCAGTTCTAACATCATAGTAGCTTTATCTGGATTGGCCCTGTTTGGCTATGAGCCCATTCTGTGTCAATGACACAATAGAAGAATATGTCATCGACATAAGCTCATCTTGGAGGAGCAAATCCTGCAGAGTCAATAACTTGATGCATTCAGCCAGTTTCCTTAGACAGAAAACCTATAACCAACCTGACTGTTTGATCTGGTTGAATTATATATGTAAAGCTCCTTGAGATGGCAGGTTTTGTGCATTGATGCTATATAAATAAAATGTAATTAACTGTAGTAAATCATTTATTTGCTGATTTGGACTTATGCCTGGACTTTGAGTGATGCTAATAAATACACCTGAAGGTTTTAAGTTTAAAGCCAATGGCTCTATGTTACCCACACTGACATAGAGCCATTCTGGGTATTTTACTGAATATTCTATCTATTCTTTTCAATTCCATTCTATTCTATTCTATTCTATTCTATTCTATTCTATTCTATTCTATTCTATTCTATTCTATTCTATATTAAGTGATAGGGGTTTCTTATACAGTGAAAAATAACTAAGCCTGGGTTAGGACTTTTTTTTCACTAATCGTAATGAAATGTGTCTACTACACACAAAAAGCATCATATTCTCCTGTTTTGATCTTTTTTGCAACACACACTATGTTTTAAAGAATCTGCAGCTTAATGTGGAGCTTCTGCTTTCCTAATATGCTTCAGAAAATCTAGCCGTGCACAGGGCCTCCTGCCAAATCAGCCCACTCTGACCCCTATGTCTGTCTATTAATGAAATACTTCAGTGTCTTTGAAGTTCTGCTCGCTAGAAAACAATCTTTGATCTAACAAGAAATGGGCCTCCCTCTGCACTTGACCCGGTCTGATCCCCAGACACCTGATAAGAGGAAAAGACGCAGCGACCGAAGTACAGGCCAAAGGAAAATGTCACCTGTTTCAAATGGGTAAGTAAAGGTGAAAGGAAGGAAAGAGACAGTCCATTACACACTGATCACAGCCAGCGAGTGGAAACATAACCTTTGTGGTGCTGTTTTCTCATTGGGTGATTTGAATTTCTATGAATGTCAGTGCAGATGAATTTCACAAGGGTACAAAGACAAGTCAAGAACAGGAAGAATGAGGTGTTTACATTGCTTGGTGGATGACTCTGGATTTCTCCAGCAGGTACTCTGAGATCTGCGCTCCGACCACTGTTCCACCATTGGTAAACTTCATCTCCAAGTACTTCCCAAAGCGGCTGGAGTTGTCGTTAATAACGGTGCAAGCGTTTCCAAAAGCCTCCACCAGACTGTTGACCAGCAGGATTTTCTCTTGGAGCGTTCGATTGTTGGCCTAAATTAAAACATTATTCCAGTTCAGAACGGAGGAAATGAATCCTCTTAGCACAATAGTACAGACTGATAGAAAGGAAACTGTAAGTCATGACCGGCACCAAACAAATTCATCATAATAAACTTTTCTTTTTGCAAATGTTAAAAAAATATTCGTAAGGAACTTAATAGAAAGAATAAATCCAACACTGATGATGATTAAATTATTCTGTCAAAGTGATAATATTTTCAAAAATTTCTTGAAATCAACACAAAGAAAGAAACTATTCCATTAAAAAAGAAATGAAGGAACTTAAAAAACAATCAGGTTAGTTGAAACTGAAAATATTTTTTTAGGGTCACATTGAAAAAAAGGAAATTTACTTAGATTGTGGTTTAAACATTGCATGCGCCATTCTAAACTGTTAGTTTCAAGAAAAGCAGAATATAGAGAATAAAAAATGATCTAATAAAGATGATAGTTAATTTAAGCACCTTTCCGAGGACTGTAAGCTGCTGCACCAGCAGATGAGCGCTCTCCGTCTTTCCTGCTCCACTTTCCCCACTGATCACAATACACTGAAAATCACAAAAGCCAAGTTTAAAAGACCTACAGTACGACTGTAAAATGTATCTGCTTAAACTTTTTTTGTCACACCGTTTTAGATAAAAATAATACAATATCGTAATAATAGTACCGTATATAAATTTGATATCAAAGATAATAAACGTAATACAGAATTTTCAATTAGTTTATATTTTTAAGGGTAAAGAGCCTGTTTACAGTATACAGTACATAAATGACTAATAAGCTCCTAAGCCTGGTTGTCTCATTCTCGGCGATAACAGCTACCATCGAACATTCGTGAAAACCGGCAAAGTGTTTTCTATTACTGGAGCGACAGTAGCGTTAGATAGAGGTGTTTACCCTGCTCTTCAGCTGTTTCAGTTCAATCACACTAAAAGGTTTTTGAACATAAGCTGCCTGTTTGAGGTCACTCCTAAATTTCTAAAATGAGTTTAATTTAAAACCGTAATTAGGCTTGTAAAAAATCGTTTATTTATTCAGTTTATTTCATCTGCACAAAACCTTCAGACTAAACTGAATCAGGTTGCACTATATTCTCCTTTTTGAATTGAGTCCATCACTTTGGATAGTTAATCCTGGTGATTAAGAAACAAAGCGGCCCTGGACCATCACACTACCCCTGCCATACTTAAATGTAGCTTTGAGATCCTGTTTTGGATAAGTGTTAATGTATTTTTAGGTAATAGATACAGTAAGAGGTTTATCTTGTCAGTCAACAGAACATTCCCAAAAAAGTCTTGAGGATCAACAAGATGCTTTCTGGCAAATGTTTGGATGGATCTTTATGTTCTCTGTTTGGTCAATAGGATTTCTTGTTGGGGTAGTGGGTGGGGAAGGTTCTTAGTTCAATTCTCGGCCTGGCTTTTTCTGCATGGAGTTTGCATGTTCTCCCTAAACATGCGTGGGTTCTCTCCGGGTACTCCCGCTTCCTCTCACAGTCCAAAAAATGACTGTTAGGTTAATTGGCTTCACTAAATTCTCCTTCGGTGTGTGTGTGTGTGCATGGTTGTGTGTCCTGTGTGTCTCTGTGTTGCCCTGCAATAGACTGGTGACCTGTCCAGGGTGTAGACAGGCTGGAGATAGGCACCGGCCCCACCGCAACCCTGACTAAGCGGGAGAAAATGGATGGTCTTTATTGTTGTGGATTCATTAACACTGATCATGACTAAACAAAGTGAGGTCCTCAACAAATAAGCTGTTACTTTGTTTTTTTCCTCCTGGATCAGTCTTGGGTGTGCATTTGGAGTAAATTAAACAGGTTAAGCAATCCTGGGGATATTCACTAACGTTTCATTTTCTCCTTGTAGTTTAATGGTACCCCAAAGCATTATGGGAAAGCATGATGTTACTTCTTATAATCTTGCGGTCAACTATCTTGTAGATATTTAATTATTTCCTTTAATTTCTTAATTTTGGATCTTTTTTCCCCCTTTAAAAGCATATTTGAAAGTCTGTAGAAAAGGAGATAAGCACCAGCTCCTTCATGACCCTGACAGACTAGCAGGTATAGAAAATAGATGGATGTTTGCTGATAATGACATTTGCATGATTATGTGTAATCTTTAAGTGATATAAAACATAAACAAACGAAATCTGCATGACCAAATTGTTCTGTTTTTTCTCAGCAGTGTATGTCATAATAAGTAAGTTACCTGATCGGTGTTGTATGACACCATTGACTGGTAGGCAACGTCCGCCACTGCAAAGATGTGTGGAGGGTTGGCCGTGCGCTTAGCCCCAATGTACATCTTAGTGTACTGTGAGAAACAGAGTCAAGAAACCATTGAATACTGAAATAACTTATCTTAATCAGTACATGTAGACGAAAGGCAAAGGCAACATATGTGCTCAGAATTGGGAAGGTAAACATTAGACATGATGAATAAACTGTCAATTATGGTAAAGAAGAGGGAAAATGTAAACAGCAAATAAAAAGTGGAGATTTTTGAGTTTTTGAAAAGCAGCAGTGAATACATTTCGAAGCACATTTGCTGTGGAAGAATAAACAGGAAAAAAGTGGCTATATTTTCTTTTTACTGACCTGAGGAGAATAAATTTCCATTTTATGGAAGGGGTTGACTGCAATCAGTATGTCTCCAACATAGGTGTAAATCTGATCTCTGGCATAGCGACTCTGGAGCTGCTCAGTGACTGTGTTCTGACCAAAAAAAAAACAACATTTCCACCTGAATTATCATCAAGGTGATAACATAATCATAAAATAAATGAATAGTTTACATCCCCCACCACCACCTGTTTAATCCGTGCATTCTGTTTGAAATCAAAGCCATGGGACTACTGCTGTGTCAGGATATTGTTTTCATAAAAGTGGTGATCAATACTGATGTCTAAACACCTCCAGGTTAATCAACAACAGCTGAGCTCCTGAGTTTGATGGATGGAGAAAAATATCCGCTGGCAACAGAGCCTGATTGCATCATTTGATACTTTAAACCAGGAACCAGAGTTGATAAATTGCTCAGTGAAAAAACAAATAAAAAAATTCAATAATATTGGCATAACTACAAATAGTTTGCCAGTACTTTCAGAGCAACCTTACAGGTCTGAGTAGAGCTCATTTATTCAGAGCAGGTACAGAAACCTCACTAAAGAAGAGACAAACTGCATAACAGACGTAAATTACTATTTCAACTGGGAACAGTTTTAAATTGTCATGGTGTTAAAATCTGCTGCGTTCAACTCTTTTATCCCCTGCAATATTCAGCTTTCTGTTGCTGTTTATTTTTTTACCTCATCTAGGACTTCAAGGGTGGCGAGGTCGTCCACCTCGTCTGTGTCAGCTTGCGTCTTCATATGGCTTCCTTTTTTTGTGTGGATACGTTCATGCCTGAAATTCACAACAAAATGGATGCAGCTTAAATTAAAAACAGAAATTCGTTAACAAAAAACAAGGATATCACCTTTCTTATATTGCTATGGCACTTTATTTAGATTTAGATCAGCAATGGCTTTAAACAATGTTGAATGTCAGCCACAGATCTAAGACAGAAATGGTGTAAATCTAAGCTTAAAACACAAGGAACACTTCTAGTTAAGTTAATAATGCTAATTATTAAAGTAGAGGCATGTTTGTGTAGCTTAAACACTGATAATATATTTATATATTTCATCTTTCTATGTAATAATTCAACCATTTGCCCAATGTGAGGTCAGCAATAGATTAAGAACCAACAGTGAAGAAACCTAGACTGTTCTCCAAAAAAGTTCTCTATTTCTATTTTGCTGAGTCATGATATAACTATTAGCATAACAATATTTGCATATTTTTCAAAACAAACATAAATATTCTAAGCTATCTGAAAATCTTTACTCAGGTTGTCTAACTTTTTTACTTTGTGGGAACGCTCAACATATTTTAAGATATACCTTTATCTAATATCATACACCTATTTTATCATTTAAAACATTTTCTAGCCTTAATTTATATTTTATTTCTGCAATAGATTTGACCAAATCTGATTAGTTGATCATGAGAATAATTTCTAATGATAAGTAAAACTATTAAACCGTTCCTTCCATACTTGGTAAAAATCTGATCTAATAAAAAAAATCTAATCGAATCTGAAATATCTGGTAAAAATCTACAAACTTTAGTGCATTCTGTTGGGATTTAATGCAATTTTAAGGATGTCCTGCTTCAGTCCTCAAGGGCAGGCATCATGCAGCTTTTAGTTGTGTCCTTTCTCCAACACAGCTGATTGAAATGGCTGAATTAACTCCTCAGCAGGTCACCCAGCTCTGCAGATGCCTGCTAATGAGCAATTTATTTGTATAAAGGATGTCAAATCATGTAAATCTAAAACATGCAGGACAGTAGTTTTTGAAGAATGACTCTGAAATCACAGTAATAAAGCAAAACAAAATAGGGCATCATTTGGAAAGGGGGAAAAAATATTGTAATTAAGCACACTAAACTGCACACTGAAAACTGATATTGACCTTGAATCTCCATCTGATCTGACTGTGCATTGAAAATCTTGCAAAGACTAACTGCAAAAGAGCTATGATTACTGTGAATATCGATTCAGCAGAGATTTAACTAGGGGGGCTTGGAAAAAGATGCATGTCACACTTTATGGATTTTCTTTTCTAAAAAGAAAGAAAAAAAAAACCCAGAAGAAACAAGCAGCTTTTGCCTCCCCTTCAAAAGTATACACTTTGTTTAGTATTAAATCCCAACAAAATACATTTAAGACAATGACTAAGTAATGCATTTAAAATTATATTTCTTCAAGGTTTAATAAAATTGTTTTTGGTATTTTATAGCTAATCTACACTTGCTATGTTGTTTAAAACGAAAAATGCAATAAGAGTATCAAAACTAATCAAATTATGACAAACAGCCTTAAACAATTAGCCTTTTCTACAATGAGGGGAACAATATTAAACTGTCTATATCAGATAATGCAGATACCTGGTAAATAAAAAAAAAAAAAACACGATCACATCTACAGCAGAATCTGACTGGACTAAAAAGCTTCTACTGTGGCATATATGAAGCCACTAATACATCCATTACCTGTCATTACTGTCTGTACGTCTTTCTGTCTTTCCATGATGGCTTTAATGACAGAGATAGGATTAACATTGCATGATCACACAAATACAAACCAATGTGTTACACACAAAGCCCAGCTAGCACCTTCACCCATGCAGCTGCAGGATTGAGGTGATGTTTGTTTGGGACGACGGGGCTTGTAAAACATCCAGAAAGGAGGGTAATTTGGATTATACAGCCTGCAAAGGCTAAGCTGCAGTGTGCCATATAAAACCGACTTCTTTTTCTTTTTCAGGGGGTTTACAAGCAAAATGGTACATTTGAAGGTAGAATGCAGGATGCATAGATGACAACTTGTCATCCTTTTGGGTACAATACCTTGTTTTTTCAATTAATCCAATTTGCTGATTGAGATCTATTAGTTCAATCAGTTGTTTCTGCAGGATTTTCTCTCTGCCGACAGTCTGTTTGATGAACACATGCTGGAGCAGGTCTAACACATTTGGTCTCAGCTCAAAGTCCTTTATCAGACATCTGTGAGGCAAAAGAAAAGAAGAAGTGCATCATATTTGCATTACATTTAAAAAATGTTAATCCTCTCAGGAGCAGTGACACTTGCAGCCACACTCACTTGCAGATAAAGTCATTAAAGTCATCTGACCAGAGCTCCGGCTGGTGGAGAGTAGGCGGGGGGTTTCTGTTAAAGGAAGAAATGGAAAAGATAAATAGATAGATAAGATGGGATTTAAGTGGGTGGAGAACAAAGGCACCCAAGGGAATGATGGAGTGAAATCTCAGCACTGGACCAATTTGTCACTGAGGACATCAAGAAGTGTCTCTTTAGGTGAACTGAAGTAATAAGTTACCTGTGTGTCTGGGTGGCATGGACATGGCTGATTTATCTAATGAAAAACACATTTTTTCTTTTTCAATGCAGATTTCCATAAAAGCTTCTACTGGAAAAAATCCCACCAAAACTGTTAAACAGACACACTGAGCACTTTTGCCTCAAAAAACTCTTCTTAGCAGTCAAATGACTCACTATAATTCCTCGTTCTGCTTCAGGTACCTTTTTACAAGAGGGTTTCTGGCACATGGGAGGGAAGTCAGTGCTGCCTGCTAATGCATGCGGCCTTACAAACAGCAGCTCTGACAGCGATAAATTGCCCTAATGAGAGGGCATACATCTCCTGTTTATCACACAAAACAGCAAATATAGACAGTAGATGCATCAGGCATTTATTTGGCCTGTGTTCATCTAAGTAGCGACTATTAAAGAGTTTTTTTATTCTGAACACAAGCAGGATTTCGTAGAAATGAAGCGAGATGACGAGCAGGAGTTTTGCAATGCGTTATCACAATGCTGACGGGTTTTTAGTATACATGCAATATACTTTTTATAATAAAATGTGCTTGTTTATTCTAATTGTATGTCAGAAAGGTCGTAAATACTTATAAATCATTTACACAGGATAAGGTTGACTATAAGATTAAAGTTGGAAGTTTGCTGATAAACACCAGTTAATTTGGGGGGCTCTGTTATAGTAAATGATTTTACTACAACATGATAGAAACATTTTATCACTCAACATTGACAAAATGTAGCTTTATATCTTTAAAAGATTCAGGCAGGAAATCTGTTTAGAATGAGTTTCCTTGGGCATATGTATGCATGGAATAACACAGCAGTCCCCCCTCCCCTGCTTGTTGCTGCTAACTGCAGGTCAGTTAGCTCAAAGAAACACAGTATAGTTTGTCTTTAATTACCATGTCCGGATAATGTGTCATTTTGTAAACAATGCTTCAACAAAAGAGTAGAAACTCAAGGGATAGCTACTTCATTAGCTGAGTAAATACAGCTGCTAATTGACTAGCTAATATCAGTTTTTATACCCCTGGTATTACTCTATAAACTCTACAAACTGAAGAAAGGCAGAAAGTAGATAGTTTTGTTTATTAATAGTTAATTTTAGATTCTAAATTCATTCCTTGGATCATTACATTAACACTGCAACTAGAGGTGGGCATTCCCACCTCTAGTTGCACCTCTAGAAGCATCTGTATCAATTACAGATACAGATACTTAAATTTGGGAGAGTTTTGAATTAAATAAATCGATAAAAACCCTGAGACTAGCAAGGCATCTAAAACCTTTAATCAAAAATGAACACTTTAGTGTCATCTTCATAGAAAGACAACTGTGGCCAAAAAAACAATGCTACTACCAGCTATTCTTAGAAACTGGAGGGAATAAAATTAACGGTTTAAAAAGTAGAAATTCAGAAAAAAAATGAGGGTAAGATTTAGTTTTATCATTTGTAGGCCCAATTGATTCTACTCCAGAAACTCTCGTAAATGTTGTTTCTATTCACACAGGCTCAGAAATGAAAGCAGCAACAGCTAAACTAGTGTGTGTTTATAATGCTAACATTTCATTAATATCAAAATTTTATTAAAGAGCATGGCTAAACAAGTGCAACTCTAAAGGTTGTATAGTGTAGTTGTTATTATGTATAACAGTTTAGTAAAAAAAAAAATTCCTGGCTGTAGTGGCCTTTTTTTTAAATGTGATTGTTGAGGAAATGTACTGTAATAAGGAAAGAGGGAAGGAACAATGGCGTAACTATCGGTAAGCAGAGTATGCAGTTGCTTAGGAGCCCCTGACCTCTTAGGGGCTTCGTCATTGACTCCTGGTAGGCCCCCTACGCAATTGTGGACTACGACATCTCTTTGCAAATGTAATGGTGCGAAAAATTTGACTTAAACCCACCTGATACTAGATTGACTGACCAGACCTTATTTATACCCCAACACAACACAATACGACTTGGAATTATGGGTAATCCAGAGCGTAGATTCACTACTTCATATGGGGCCCACCCAGATAATGTTGCTTACGGGCCTATTGTTGTGTCATTACGCCATTGGGAAGTCTTTCTGGATTGAGATTCAAACCCGGTACGGCAACCAGGGTTATCTTTTCTAACACATTGTGACGTTTAACAGAAACATCATGATGAGGAATCCAAGACGAATGTTTTTTTGGGGTTTGGTACAGCAGAACATGATAGCAGGTATGCACAAAATAGAGTTTTAAGACATTGTTTAATAAATCCTTGAATGTCCAGTCTATCACCTGGATCTCTACTTAAAGCTCTACTTCTAAAAGAGCTTTAATAAACATTTGACAAACTATATATACAATTTAAAGCAGAAATCTAAAGAGATAGAAAATGTGATTAGGCTTAGCAACACCGATGTGAGGGAGCTGACCTCAATGAGCTAATGCTCATGTAATCAAAATAAATCAGACAGAGAGGTTGAGCAAATGCCCACAGCATCTCTCTTTCTAACTCTGCCTGCAGAATAAAGCCAGAGCTGTGAAAGGAGGGAGGTAAGGAAAGTGCAAACAGAAAGCCTGCAGCTCTGGCTGCAGCCGTCACACAGATTCAGGGAGGTCTGTGTGATGGCTCCTGTAGAGCACGACCCCCACGGCAAACTCTTCTTCCCTGGGACTGCATGTGTATGCATGTGCACCTCTGGTCATTGACCGACACAGAGCAGATTGGGTGACAGCAAGTGAAAGTGCTTATGCAGGTCTCACAGCAGATGTAGAGCGATAAACAATTAGATTTTCACCTTCAGAAAAACAAAACAACAGATGAGTACATGGGAGCTGGGCACCCAGCCTCCCCCCAAAGGGATTCGTGTTAGGTAGGTGGATAAGCTTTGGCAAGGAACATGCAATAATTAAATCAACAATAGGCATATTTCTAATTGATATTAAATATAAATGCAAAAGAAAAAGTAAACCTTCAATCGCAGATCAAACTTTGATAATTTGGGTCACATTTCTATAAAAAGTATGTCTTTAAAAACTATCAAAAGCGCATTGTGTAAATTGGATCATTATGTTTGTCATTTGGTTATATCATATTTAATGGCTGCAGTGTTCAAACTTTCAACCTTGTGGAGAAAAATCTGCAAGTTAATTGTATTTTATGTCCCTACGTAGCAGTATGAACCTTTAAAAACATTAAACACCAAAAAAAGGCTTTTACTCTGAAGGTTTTATTTGAACCCGTTGAGCAATACCCATAATTACATTTAAGTGAAAAAGGAATACATCACATATTTTATTTACGGCAACAAGAACAGAATATCAGCCACTCTTTATTTTAGCCAAGCATAATAAATAGGATCAATCAAGCAAATCTTTGAGGAATAAAAGGTGATGTTTTTGTTTCTCAAAAAAATTTGAGTTGCTATATTTTTCATTTTAGGATAATTGGATCTCTGAAACCTCCAGGTTTACTTTTATTCTTGAGTCAAGGTCTCTGACCACATAAAATCATTCCAGGGGCCAGACATGGCCCACAGACCACACTTACAACATAATTGGATTGAAGTTTTTTTTCATAACTCAGTCTAGCATAACATTTTTACAGGTTGGCACTGTTAGTTCTTTATGATACAACAATCAGCAGCTTTTTCTTACTCACTGCTATAATAAACGGGGGTGAGCTACTGTATAATTATAGCCCAAGATGGCTGATTATAATTATGAATCGAGGCTTACCTAGGGATTTTAAAAAGGGCTCTCATTGGGTGGAGGTCAGAAAGAGGGGGGTCTCCATCTCCCAACTCTATAGCAGTGATGCCCAAGGACCAGACATCACACCGAGCGTCGTAAGTTGAGTCCAGCTGCTGCTCACAAGCTATGACCTGCAGGGAGAGAGCGAAGAGCAGAAGCTGTAATGGATCACATGCAACTCTGAGCTTAGAGGAAAAAGGGGTTTTTCAGTCACACAATTTCCTATCTTGCCACATATGTTGGTGTTTGTAAAAATGCATTTTTAAATATTTTTGCTCTCTATGGTCTGCAAAGAGCATGTGCATAGGGGATGAAAGATGTAGATTTTTCTTGACTCTTACTTAAGCAACTTTAATTAAGCAATTAGCAGGTTGAGGCGAGTGAACAGAGCACCATTGTTGCTACAGATTAGGTTATGGTGTTCTGTTGGGTCATTGCTAGATTTTCGTCACAACCTGCTTAGATAGATCCTGTCTGACAACAAGATGGAGGCTAAAACTATAAGCAAAACATTATGCCCTAATAAAAACAATTTCAAAAGCAGAAGAGAAACAAAGTCATGTGTAACATCTATCAGTGATATTGCATAAAGTTACTTTTCCCTAAGGAGACCTAAACAAAATCTCATCAATAACAAACCATGAGTGCTGTTTCTACAACATAGAATTATTACCTAAGCTCAAGTACACTTTGGTTATGCAGTTGAACAATGTTCCAATAAAACATAGCAATTTAAAATAGGTAGTTTGCGTGATCTAGTAAAAGTACACTCTTAAATCCAATTGAGCAGCTGTGGCACGACCTGAAACTGGCCTCTGTGCTGGAAAACCATCTAAATGGGCTGAAAAAAAAACATTGGCTGAAATTTTTTTTTTACAAAAAAAATCATAAAAACTAAAGAGAGGCAAGGTTACCCCACTGTAATGTAAACATGCAATGTTCTCCATGCAAAAACTTGATCGCAACTGTTTTGAACTAGCGTGGCACAAACAGATACTAAGTATAGATGTAGCTTTTTTCACATATGACAATATTCATTTGGATTGCTGCATTTCCTTTAAAAAAATTTGATTATGGTTTAAACACACCGATGTTTACTTCACCTTACTTTACTGTGCATAGATGCTCTGCTTCAAAAACATGAAGAAATCACATTTACATTTATAAACTATTAAGAACCTTTGATGAAACCTCTAATAAATAACAGGAAACTGCGTCCTTGAAAGTAAAGGTTATTTTTATTCTCTGTATCTAAGCTAAATCTTCTTTTAAGTTGAGCAATATCAGAGGTCATAAAAGGACTCTCGCCGATCAGCCAAAAGCAACTACTTAACATCATGTACTCAGCAAATTGAACACAGACAGAGGCGCACACTTCTTCAGTCAATCATACTTGTCCTGGGGGTAAACATGGTACCTAATCTAAAACATGAATCATCCGAGTGGGAGGCATGAATGCACATCCACAGAACAACCCCCCTCCACAATACATGCTTTGGTATTATTGTAAAATGCCTGACATCTAAACAATTTGCTTTCCCTGCTCTCGGTGAGTATGTATTCTATGTATTCAGAGAAAATTAGGAAAGAAACCATTGCCATCTTACCGGGAGACACACAAGTACTCATGTGTTTCAAAGCAGAAACATGCATTACTGTATCACATTTCCTCCCACGATTTGTGAAAACAACAACAAAGTCAGAACCATGACCATTTATAAAGCTTAAATTAGTAAAGGGAAACAGTGTTAGCTTACAAAAATATCCACTTACCCTGAAATCAAACTAGTTATGTCTTCTTCACCTCTTATTCACTCAGCTAAGAGTTGTTTGGCGAAAGACAGAGCTTCAAGCAATGTTCTTTCTTCAGACTTCTTCGATAAACATGCAAATTAAATGAAAATCCTTGAACGACTAGTTATTACGTCACTCCACCTGTGGTCTAATACTTGGTCTGCACAGCATGCAAACGGTATGGAAAATTAGCATTTCAATTTGTGTGTTAATGGGGCAGCATTCAGACAGACAATAGATGAAGGTGCAGTGGTTACAAAGTGTGTTGGTTTAGTATAACTCTATCCAGCAAAGGTTGCAAATTACTCCTCTGTTTTCCTCTAGGTAAGCTTTGAGGTTAATTGCACTAATGGCTGGTTATGTGATGCCTCTACCTTTGTGGTTTTTTAGAGCTGTTTCCTCATTCAGTCCAATGAAATTTAAATGAAAGGTTAAACAGGTTTGCTTTCCAAAGGATTTACTTGGTGGCTATTCTATTTCTGAAGACCAAGGGCCTTACATACTATGATCCTAAGGATTGTTAAATTGTTAAGTAAACACAATTACAAATGCAATCATTAGGCCTATAGTTGGAATTGATAACATGTGCAAAAAATATTCTGTTTAAGTGGGGATTTTGCGTCTGCTACCTGGCATCACCAGATTTCTGGAGAGTGTAGAGTAGGTTTATTATGAGTGTCTTAAAGGCAGACTCCTTTCATAACCGCACTGCACACAGATGGAAGGTGTTGTTATGTGGAGAGAGAGCAGGCAGAGAAGAGGGGAGGACTTTAAGGCACAATCTTGTCTGAAAGTGGATCTGGATCTTTCTGAATGTTGCAAACAGTAAAACACTCCATCAAATGTTTTTAGACACAGTAGGCAAAATTAAAAGTAAAAGTAATTTTTTTCTTTTTTTTTCTTTTTTTGAGGCAAAATGAGCATTATATAAAGGGAAAAACTAGTGAGTATGCAAGAAGCAGTTTCCCAGCAAAATAAAAATATTGGGTGGACAATGTGTGTTTTTTTCTTTGCTGTACAGTCTATTTTAAACTTTAAACTGCATGCCTTCACAGCCATTAACATGACTATTTCTATTCTATTCTATTCCATTTTGATACTTGATACTTTGTTAATATTGAATTGAAATTATATTGCTGTTTTTACCTAGAACTTCATTTCCTGCACTTCTGCTGAACACATCACATATGCTAACATTTTTATGTTAGCCTATTTAGCTAGCAACACATTATTGCAGAAAATGTATATGTATATATATATATATATATATATATATATATATATATATATATATATATA